CCTTGCGGAACTTGAAAAAATTTTCTCTGCACGGGAGACTTTTGCCGCGACAAAAGTGCGCGGCCCGTGACCTAGCCGCGATACGGGCGCGCCCGTGAGGGAGCCGTGGACTAGCCGTGGAGTAGCCGTGCACGGGCCGTGCACCAGCCGCGGTAGGCCCCCGGTACCGGCCCATGCGCGGCTAGTGCACGGCCCGCGATGTACATGTCGCGGCAAAAGTCTCCCATGTGGGCAGATTACATCTCTCCACCCTACTATACAGGGTGTCCCAAAAAATCAGCCCTTCTATGGTGGGCCGCAGAAGCGTCCGATTCTGACGATTTAGGTATCTATCGAAATCTCTCGGAAAGGCGAGAAAACCATCACTTTCGTCTTTCAATATAGACATTTTAGTTCACGATATCCTGATAGTCAACGCGGTCTTTTTTGGGTCCGTTACCCGATTTTCTCAGTTGATTTTGATGAGAGGGGTTCGATGGTATGACGATTAATCGAAATGGGCCGTCTCGTTCTTTTTAAACGATGCATTTTGGTTAAATTGAGCTGATTAAAAACTGTGGTGAATAACTGACCGTGATAGTCAACCACTGGACGAACAAATGACGGAATTTCCTAATTGTTGATCGCTGAAGGGGCGGCTGTCGATTTGGAAAAAAGTTGGGTGCTGAAAAAGAGTCTATTCTTAATTATAGAGATTGTTAACAATACCCTTTTGCCTTTCCGAAAAATAGCCAGGCAAAAGAAGCGGCAGTTGGAGCGGAAGTAGTTGTCAAATGTAGAGTGGACGCATCGGATTTTGAGGATAGTTCTCAGGGGTAATTCGTTGAGGATACGAAGTTGAACATCTACTGGAAGATCCATTTCCTGCAATACACATGTAGAAAAAGTATTGTAGATTGGGACGCAAAAGGGGAAAATAGAGTGAAAGCTATTATAGTGTCGATTATTCCTGTGGAAATAGGGTCGGATCTGGATGAGCTGTTTCTTCTATCGCGATAGACGACGCGATGTATCGACGTGCAGATGATAATCAATCTATTAACCTGTCGGTTTTTGGCTTATGCATCACTTGATCCATTAGTGCGAATGTGATATGGTCTCCGCGGCGCTGGAGGGTTGGTTTTGGGAAAATTGAACTAATGAAAGCTTTCTGCAGCCTATCTCTTTACAACTCGCCACACTTCGCCCAGCGCTAGCTGAAGATGCGAAGGAGAAGCTGAAAAAGGAATGCATCAAATTCACCGAGTACAACAAAGTACCCAACAAGATTTGATGATCGATTGGGTGGGAATTTCCTTCAAAAATGCTTTAAATTGATTTGTTTTAGATCTGGCGTCCGAAAGGCGATCGTCGATCGCCGTGGGTATTGATTGACGGCAAAATCCTCCATGATAATGTCAATCCCGTAAGTAGTGGCCTATTTTAACCGGAAATCAAAATCTATTGGATGGACTTTGCCGTTCTGCACGCCTACCGATTTGTGAGAGCCTTCGGGGAAACCGGTGTCCTTCCCGAGATCCACCAATTCCAGCCCATCGACCGCTAAACTTGAATAAACCTTTCGAAGGTGCTTAGATTCTGCTTTTTCCGCGTAATAAACTTAATGCTTCAATCAAAATCAGACCACTGGAAGAGCCCGCTGTCAAAATCGATTTCCCGTTTTCTTTATATGCCTAAATTTCGAAGCTGAAAATTTTCACACCCTCTCGGATTCAACTCGAAATTTCTGGGCCTAAATTAAAATCTATACGCTCGCTCTCTTTTTTTCTTCATAAAGAATACATTTTCTAATTTGTAAGTGCTTATTTCCAGGGAAAGAATGGCGCTCGAGAATGTCTCTGCAAAACAAATGGAGGGTATTCTGGCATTACTGGACGCAAAGAAATGCATGGAACTGGCCTTCATGTCCCCAAAAATGTGGAAAATTGTCGAAAAGACGCCGAAGAAGTATGGAATCGTCCAGTTTTGCGATAGCGGCGTCGATTGGCAAGATGAATTGCTGATGTTTTTGGGGAACGATGACGCGAAATCTGAAGGAGAAGGAGCGTGTATCCGGATGCCTCTGTCATTGCCATTATGGTTAGTTATAAATATACTTATTTAAGTGGGTGTTCTTTCAGGGTGACTACACCGGGTCTAGTTCCCCTTTGGCTTATCGAGGCGTTGGGACACAAGGATTCGGTCTATGTTCGCTCAGCCTTTCTCAGGCTTTTCCTTACAAATGCAACCATCAAAGAGGTAATACATATTTATTTCTTCTTAATCCCATTTGCAGCTCCGTTCTCCCATGGCAATGTTTGGCAACGAATTCTGGTTTTCGTTAAATATGAAAGTGACGCGAATCTTCAATCCAATTGCTGTCGATTCCTCCTCAGTACTCCATCAATTTCTCGGTAAAATCTATATAAATGTTGATGATTAAGCTGTCTTTTTCTAGATCACTTCAAGCCGACCCAATTCATCTTTCAAGGCTTTCACCGCTTTTTGCGCCGAGTGCCAGAAGAGTGTATCGAATTTTTGCAGAGTCCGGTGGTACGTTCCTCGGTGAAGGTCCTTTTTGTCAGATCTATTTCAGATTCATTCGTTGGAGACGTTGTATTTGTCTATCGACGTCGCCAACTTCCCACTACTGCAAGGCATTCGTGCAAAAGATTTGCGCCTCGTTATCTTGGGAAAAACGACGTCAGTAGCTGAGGTCCTCCAAATCACACCCATTAGCCGGTTTGTTCTTACGAACGTGAAGGTATAATTTGTTATAAGGATTTTCTCCAGTTTTTAGAGTTGGCTGGAGGGTACGAATGATATCGACAACTGTCAATTTTTCGATCGTTTTTATGTGGTTACCGGGAATGCGTTTCTGTCTGGTATTTTCTTCATGATAATCCAGAATAGATTTTAGTGATTACGGGATATGCGCGCGTTTTATCTCCAGAATTGGGATGGATCGATCGAACATACGGGGATATGTCGCTCATTCTGAGGGCTAGTGATGTGAGATTCTTCTCTATAAAAATATTCTTTTGATAGGGACAAGCGTTGCTGTCGTATTGGGATCAGGATGATTCTTGCTTCTATCTCATCCGATGCCAATATAACTTCAGACGGTTTGATTCATGTGCGAACTACTAAATTGTTCCCTTTAGCGGTCGCTGTCTCGGAAGTTATCAACGAAATCAGAAGTCGCTCGAGATGATTCGCGAATTTATGGTCCGCTTTCTACATAGCATATTATCAAAACTTCCTTTTCAGCACATACTTCAAAAACAACATGACCAAATCGGAGGAAATCCCGCTGAAACGATGGAGAAGCTGAAGGAGGAGTGCATCAAGTTCAACGAGTACAACAAAGGCGCCACGCAGTTGGATCTATTGACCGATTCGGTTGGCCATCTGATTCCTATGACATCTTCTCTCCCCTTTTCAGATCTGGCGTCCAAAAGGCCAGCGGTACTCACCGTGGACGATGAACGATGAGAAATTATTTGACATTCGTCCAGTATACCCGGTTCGTTTAAAAATTACCTAAAAATGAATAAAAACCTCCAAAAACCACAAAACAAAACACAGACACCAAAAAGGAGAAAAGCCAAAAACACCAAAAAAGAAAAGAAAACACAAAAACAACAAAACCGAAGGAAGAACACCAAAAACACACCAAAACACCAAAAAAAAAGCCCCCCCACAAAAAAAAAAGACCACAAAAAAAAAACAAAAAAAAACCTAAAAAACTTTTTTTTTTCCCTGTTTTTTTGGTTGATTTTTTTTTTTCTCATTTTTATTTTTTTTTTTTTTTTTTATCTTTTTACATTTGTTTTTTTTTTTTTCTTTCCCTTTCTCTTTTTTTTTTTTTCTTTTTTTTTGTTCCTTTTTTGCTTTCCCCCCCCTTTGGTTTTTTCTTTTTTTGGTTCTTTTTCTGGTTTCTTTTATTTTTTTAAAAAAAAAAAAAATAAAAAAAAAAAAAAAAAAAAAAAAAAAAAAAAAAAAAAAAAAAAAAAAAAAAATAATTTTTAAAAATTTTTTTTTTTTTGTTTTTTTTTTTTTTTTTTTTTTTTTTTTTCTTTTTTTTTCTATTTTTTTTTTTTTTTTTTTTTTTTTTTTTTTCTTTTTTTTTTTTTTTTTTGTTTTTTGTTTTTTAAAAAAATAAGTTTCCTAAAACACTTAATGGGTTAATTTAGATGGATGCCTCCCTCCGTGATGCCTACAAATTCACGAAGACTTTCGAAGAGACGGGCGTACTCCCTGATTTCAATCAATTCAAACCAATTACGGACGAGATTTATTCGAAATTGTTTATTTGAAACTTTCTTTGTTATGCATGTTGGTGTCTTTCATTGTTGTCGAATTTAACTTTACCAAAATAAAATGGAGTTGTTTGTCATTTTGAAAGTGTACGATTTTGCTGAAAGTGATAAAGACACTCGAAAGATTCTTCTTCTTTTCTAATTATATAAAATCTAATTGAATGCAATTTGTAGCAAAACGATGCTGAACAAGCTGCCGGTGAAGGTGATGGAGGGTATTCTGGCATTACTCGATCCACTCGATTACAAAGAGATCGCCTCGGTATCGCCGAGAATGTGGAAAATTGTCGAGGAAACGCCGAAGACATATGGAATCATTAAAGTATACAACGGAATGCCGGATTGCAAGGATGGTCTTTGGCTTGGATTCTCGGATTGTGAGACCCCGAATGAGATGCGGTTAGTAGGATTGGCGCCATCGCCACTTCCACGGTACATTTTGGCCCCATTCATAATTTACTTTTTTAGATGGATGGAAAAGGATGCGGGTCGTGCTGTGCGTATAAATGGCTTTATGGCAAGGAGTATGAGGAAAAGAGATTCGACTAACACCCGCACGACATACCTTAAACTCTTGCTGGCAAATTCGTCAATTAGACAGGTTAGTATTTTGTTGATACCTATTTATAATTTACCGTTTTTTAGTTACGCGACGCCCCACTTGTCTTCGGAAATCCTTTTTGGTTCTCGTTGAATATGAAAGTGACCAGGATCTACAATCCGACAATAACATCGGCCATCAGACTTGCCGAATTTATTAGTAAGTTCTAAAAAACCCAGCATTGAAATTGAGAGGAAAAATCCGTTTTTTGCATTTTTGCTTTCCCCCCCCCCGGCTAATGCACAAGAACCTAATATTTTTGTAGATCATTTGAAACCGAGGGAGTTCATCCACGACGCGTCTGCCCGGCCTTTCGCCGATGATCGTCTCGAAGTTGAGAAATTATTGCGCAGTCCGGCGGTACGTTTATTTGAAATTACGGCCTAAAATTGATTTGTTTCTATCCAAAATGACAAAATCTTCGATATTTTGAACCCGTTTTGTAATTTTCTGTCAATCTGCTGTTTCTAACATCGTTAAAGCTTACTAAAAACAGTATAAACACGATTTATATTCGATTCCTAGACCAATGTGCACCACCAGAAAAATATTCTCCCCCTGATAATGCGAAAGATCCGATTTCTCTTATGACACTATTTCAGATGTGTTCGTTGGAGAAGCTGCATATAACGATTGGTCGGAATAATTACGGATGTTTGGATGGGCTACGAGGGAAAGATGTGACTGTTCGAATGACTACGAGTTGCTCCACATTCGCCCCGGTTGCCGATATACTCATCAACACGGCCGTCGTGATTTTTGTCTCAGACACTGTCTTGGTAAAGCTTTTTCATAAGTATATAAATAATCTTCTTTTTTCAGCGTTGGCTTCAAGGAGAGGCGGAAATCGACAAGATTGAAGTTCCGGCTGGCGTTGACGGCAATTTCGACTACTTTTTTAAACCCCGTATGGCAAAGGTTGTGTTTTTGAGAATGGATTTAGTGATGAAGAAGATGACACCGGAATTGGGATTGATCGATCGAACATATGACGGAATGGAGCTCATTTTAAGGACTAGCGATGTGAGTTTGTTCTCGATCCAGATCTATCAGGTTTAGGGACAAGCTATCATCACATATTTGGATAAGCGGGACGGCGCGTTGCTGCTCATCAGATGTGAATACAATTTTCGGCGGTACATTGGCTGCGAAAATCAATAATGGATATTTTTAGAGGACGCTGCCTCGGAAGTTACGAACGAAATCATGAGGCGCTGAACAGGATTCGGATTTTGTTGGTAGGTATACCAGTTTGTACCGAATTTTTTTATTACAGAGCGAATGGCAAATCTGCGAAGAGCGCTGGCCGGGCCTGATCGTCGAACTTCCGGAGAAGTTGAAGGAGGAATGCATCGAGTTCAACGAGTACAACAAGGGGGCTACGGAAATGGACTTGATGACGGATGCGGTTGGCTTATTATTCATCACTAAGAATTATTTCCTGAGATTTGGCGTCCAATAGCGAAGCGCCGTTCGCCGTGGGGCTGCTACGGAAATGCGACATTTCGGGATGCCACTTTTCCGGTCAGTTTCATTCTTATAATTAGAATTAAATAGGGCAGATGTTGTAAGAGGTTGCTTAATATTTCCCCAACCGTATAACCTTTACAAATTTTGATTTAAAAAAAAAACGATTTTTCGACAGTTCGCGTTTCCCAGGAAATTCTTAGAAATTAAACTTTATTTTAAATTAGATTTTAGAAATAGCTTAAATAGTGTTTTTAGTTAGAACTTGCCGTTCGTCACGCCTACCAATTCACAAAAGCATTCGAAGAGAGAGGTGTACTCCCAGATGTCGATGAATTCAAACCAGCTAAAGAAGCAGAAATCATCACACGGAATGCGATATCGTGAATGATTGTTTGAATGGTTTTTCTTCGTTATTAGAAAAATATTGTTCGTCTTATTCGTTAACTGATTCGCATTTAGCTTTTGTGATTTTGATTGTGATTTGTGATTAGCTGTGATTTTTATAATTTTCCCGTTTGTGTCTTTCATTGTTGTCTATTTAGTTTTAGGAAAATAATAAAGGTATTTGTTTGTAACTTTGAACGCGTACGATTATTCACGAAAGTGATAAAATACACAAAACATCTTCTGCTTGCGCTGCTCCAAAGAAACTAATTAAAAGTAATTTGCAGCGAAACGATGCTGAACAAGCTGCCCTTGAGGGTGATGGAGGGTATTCTAGCATTACTCAACACCGTTGATTACTTGGAATTGGGCGGTGTTTCCCTCGAATGTGGAAAAATCGTGACAGAAACGCCGAAGACGTATGGATCCATCCGCGTTTTCGACGGTGTACCGGGATTCCGAAGGAATGCTCGTGCTCGGTTTTCCTCCGCTTGGGAGACCCCAAATAATATGTGTTTACATGGATTGGCCCCATCGAGACTTCCCAAGTATTTTTTAGCTATCATCTTAATTCACCTTTATTTTTGAAGGTGGATCGAGAAAGATGATGGTCGTACGGTGCTTGTAGCTGGTTTTTTCGCCAGGGATAAGTATTCGAGTGTTACTCGAACTGCCTTCCTTCGCCTCTTACTACCAAATCTTCCATTAGACAGGTTAGCCGTTCTTTTATTCGTAAAGTTATTTTTTTAGTTACGCAACGCTCCACTAGCCTTCGGAAATCCTTTTTGGTTTTCGTTGAATATGAAAGTGACGAGGATCTCTAATCCAACAGCCGTATCATCAGTCTCAAGACTACGCGAATTTATCGGCAAGTACCGAACTGGTGCTGAATATTTTTCTAGGTCATTTGCAACCGAAGGAGTTCATCTACGATGTGTTCGATCGTCATCTACCGGATGACGGGGTTGGATGTGCGAGGCTATTGCGCAGTTCAACGGTCCGTTTGCGATGCATGTTTTATGACCGAAGATTTAGATCTGTTCGTTGGATATGCTGCAAATCACTTTTGATCGTGATCGTTTCCGATATTTGGATGGGCTACGAGTGAAGGATTTGACCGTTAGAATTGAATATGATCAGCAGCACGATCCCGGCGCTGCCCACAAAGGCCACCGTCTCATTTTTGTTGCAAACAGTCTTGGTAATATTTTTTAATTCGGCTATAAATGGCAGCTTTCCAGCGTTGGCTTCACGGTGACACTGAAATCGACAAGATTCAACTGCCCGCCGGGTTGACAGCAATTTCGAAGCCTTTTAAGCCCCGTACGTGATAGAATATTTTGCCGAGGATCATTTTTAGTGATGGCAATTTTGACGCCAAAATTGGGATGGATCGATCGAACATATGAGGGAATGGAACTCATTCTAAGGGCTAGCGATGTGAGACTGTTTAGCCCTAGCATTTTTCTGATGTTTAGGGACAAGCTCTCATCACATATTTGGATAAGCGGGACGGCGCGTTGCTGCTTATCAAATGCGACTACAATTTTCGACGGTATGCTGGCTGCCAAAAATGGATAATTTGTGTTTTAGAGGTCGCTGCCTCGGAAGTTACGAACGAAATCGTCAAACGCTGAACAGAATCCGTGATTTGTTGGTAGGCGACTCATTTTCCACGGAAATTTTTTTACAGCGCAAATGGCCAATCTGCGACGAGCGCTCCCCGGGCCTGATCAGCCACATTAAGAAGAAGCTGGCTGCGGAATGCATCAAGTTCAATGAGTTCAACAAAGGGGCAACGAAACGGGACTTGATGACGGATGCGGTAGGTCCAGTCTGGGAAAGATAGGGGATAGCGACCATTGGGACCAGCGCCCGGAGGGATAAGACTGGGTTTAGACCAGCGCCGCCGAGCGAGCGCTGGTTTTGAAAGAAAATTGGGTTTTCGGATAATGGTGCAGGATTTTTTTGTTGTCGAAAATTATCGATGGTATCTGTGTACGCTGTGATTTCCGTCTCCGATGTCCCACGTAGGTTAAAAAATTTTTTGACGCCAGCTGACTCGGAGCGAACCGATAAAAATAAATCATCAAAGAAAAATTGCAGGCGACAATTAACGCGAAGGAAACTGAAAGAAGCCGAAGAAGAAGCTGATGAAGTCTCTAAAATGCATTCCTTTCTTATCCTCTCAAGATCATCCGTATCTCACTTATCTCTGACGCTAAAAGCTTCCCTTGATGCCTATAGTACTGTAAAGTTGTTAAAACCCCGAATTTGTTATCCAAAGAGACCTCAAAGATAATGAAAACGTTGCCGGAGATCTTTGAAACCTGAATTGAGCCTTCAACGGAAAACCTATTTTTGTCATATCACCCAAAAATGTTCCATCAAAAATTCAAACTTGATTCCAATGACCGATTTACTTCAAACTTGGCCAAATGGTAGTCTGGGTCTACTAATCACTAGGAAAAAATATCAGATTTTTTGTACCCGGCTAAGACCGGTTTTCGGAACCAGCGCCAAATCGACCAATCAGCCGACCAATCAAGGTTTTTCCCGTTTTTGGTCCCCTGAAATATCAGCTAGATTGGTTTTAATTGGAATGAAGGTAGCCTAAAGGGTGGGTTACCGTATGCCGAAAAGAATACTTAGATTGCTTGCGTCTGCTTCGAGCCTGGGACCAGCGACGGTCATTTTTTTGGATTTTGAAAATCGGCCAAATTCGGAGTTTTTCTCTTAATAGGGGGGAGTAATTTTTAAAAAATGTTTCCTTGATGCCGATGATAGAGTAGGATGTGCTCTTTCGAATGACATATCATACGTCCGGATCTGGCTCCCTCTACGCGGAGCATGGGACCAGCGACTCCATTGGTCGAGCCGATTTTGTTCCTGCGACATCCGTCGCTGGTCCCAAAGTGGTCTTCAAATGCACGAATCGAGTCGCCAAATTTATATTCCAGCTTGCTGATGACGTTCCTCACCATCAAAGAACATTTGAAGTCGATCCCTTCCAATTCGACAGAGATAGCCTGCTAATGGCCCCCAAATGCCATATAAAAGGTGCAAAATCGGCTCGACCAATGGAGTCGCTGGTCCCATGCTCCGCGTAGAGGAGCCAGATCCGAACGTATGATATGTCATTCGAAAGAGCACATCCTACTCTATCATCGGCGCCAAGGAAAAATTTTTAAAAAATTACTCCCCCCTATTAAGAGAAAAACTCCGAATTTGGCCGATTTTCAAAATCCAAAAAAAATGACCGTCGCTGGTCCCAGGCTCGAAGCAGACGCAAGCAATCTAAGTATTCTTTTCGGCATACGGTAACCCACCCTTTAGGCTACCTTCATTCCAATTAAAACCAATCTAGCTGATATTTCAGGGGACCAAAAACGGGAAAAACCTTGATTGGTCGGCTGATTGGTCGATTTGGCGCTGGTTCCGAAAACCGGTCTTAGCCGGGTACAAAAAAATCGGATATTTTTTCCTAGTGATTAGTAGACCCAGATCTACCATTTGGCCAAGTTTGAAGTAAATCGGTCATTGGAATCAAAATTTGAATTTTTGATGGAACAATTTTTTGGGTGATATGATAAAAAAAATAGGTTTTCCGTTAAAGGCTCAATTCAGGTTTCAAAATGATCTCCGGCAACGTTTTCATTATCTTTGAGGTCTCTTTGGATAACAAATTCGGGGTTTTGACAACTTTACAGTACTATAGACATCAAGGAAGCTTTAAAGGTCAGAGATAGGTAAGAGCATACGGATGATCTTGAGAGGATAAGAAAGGAATGCATTTTAGAGACTTCATCAGCTTCTTCTTCGGCTTCTTTCAGTTTCCTTCGCGTTAATTGTCGCCTGCAATTTTTCTTTGATGATTTATTTTTATCGGTTCGCTCCGAGTCAGTTGGCGTCAAAAAATTTTTTAACCTACGTAGGACATCGGAGACGAAACTGCGGACTTCTGTAAAAAGGCTTTTAGATAATAAACGGCGCATAAGCGCCGAAAAATTTTTTGCTAATACTAGCCCTTAGACCAGCGCCCGGACCCCTTTTTGGGACCAGCGCCCACCCGGTTTCGACCAATGGGGTATCAGACTGGGTAGGTCGATACTCCTTTGTCAAGCGTTATGCTTTCAGATTTGGCGCCCGAAAACGAAGCGACGTTCGCCGTGGGGATGCTATGAAAATGCGACACTTCGGGATGATACATTTCCGGTTTGTCTTTCACGATATTTTGGGACATTGTTTTTTAGTTGGAACTTGCCGTTCGCCACACCTATCAATTCACAAAAGCGTTCGAAGAGAGAGGTGTACTTCCTGATGCCGATGAATTCAAACCAGCAAAAGACACAGATATCGCCACTTGGAATGAGCGGTATCGTGAGATGATTGTTTGAATGGTTTAGTAGATGAAAAAATCGTTATCCCTGATTTTTCTTTGTTTCGTTCCGATTGTTGTCATTTTTCGTGCATGTTTTTATATTGCATTTTTGCGAAGTTTTAAATGAATAAATGTTTTTCCAGCCTCAATACCATAATAGTAATAATCATAATAATTTATTCTTTGCTCTTATGAAGAATCTAGAGCAACGAATTGAACACAGACTGTATCGACCGGCATTTGGGGAAAGGAAGGAGGGGTGTGTACAGAGGAGTCGTGCGTAGTCAAATGGCCATAATTTGGCTTATACGGTATTTTCAAGGAACCAAGAAGGATATATCTATTAACTGGCAAGCCAGAAATATTTTGATATCCTTCAATAGAAATTGGGGGAAAGTTTATGTTTTCAAATTTGGATTTATCCTCATTGGTCCTTAAAAATAAGCAGATGAGGGGCAAGAAGTTGTTCAACAATTTGAGCAGGGAAATTTAGGAAGCCACAGAGAGAGGGAGAGAGAGAGAAACACAGAAAAAGAAAGAAAAGCGTGAATTGCAGGGGGAATTCAGGTACCCGTTCGGAATCTAGAAACGGAATTTCCTTGCTAGATTTTTCTAGATAAAAATAAGGCAACACCATCAGAAAATACCACACAATTTTCAGCCTAAATTATCTGGCAAGAAGCTCGTTTTTGGAGGGGAATACGGTAGGTTAGACGCGAAATAAAATTTTTTAAAGGGCCCCTCAAGGCTCCGCCAACAGCGGCCGATTCTTGTGGATTAGAGGCCGATGAGGGAATGGGATAGAAGAAGAGGGAGAAGAGATATAGGGATGATTATGGGTATGAGAAGAGATCTTGGAATGTAGAGGACGATGGAGGAGAGCATGAAGAAGATAGGCAGTCTCGATTATGACGACTACGAGGAGTACAGATGACACTGCCCATCCCACCCAGCCACCATCTGACTCGCAAACGACGCGATCCAAGGGTTGACGGTCCATCTGGAAACCGGAGGATTGATTGATGGTGATTTCTGGGGTGTTATAAAGGGGCGGTGACAGGAAGATACCCGAATTTGATGTACTTTGGCAATATCGGAGGAGCTAATTTTTTCGGCGAGAAGTTTCTAGACTTTTTTGATGAAATTTAGCTATAGGGTAGTGGAAATCTATTTTTAAAATGTGGAAAAATGTTTAAAAAATGGCATTTTGGGTCGAAAGTCGGTATTTTTCTGTTTTTTTTTAGAATATTAATCAGCTTTCACGCTTAGAAAGAGCAAAGAATAGCGTGGAAAAATTCCTCTTTCCATATCAGAAAAATTCAACGCTAGCGAAAAGCTAGCTACCTTTTCATTTACCTTCTTGTCATTTTTATTTTTTACATATTTTAAAAACGAACCACAACGACAGGCTCAGTGTTGTCAACAGTCTCCCGTGGATCACAATCACCGTGGTCTTTCTGAAAAGAAATCAGTTTCAATAGATTTTTGAAAATTTAACGAATACGGTAGCCAATCAATACAATAACTGACAATTTGCGTAATATAACAGCAAGACTGTGTGGTGGTATTCATCGCCGGGCGTCCCGAATATTTCTGAGCATCCGCTGGGTTGCACGAGATCACTGAAAACAGGGATTTTTCACAATTTTTACAGTTCTCATATTTTTTATAATGTAGTTTGTAGCCCATAATTCTGTTTGTAAATCAGTTTAAATGTTAGTAAAACAGCTTCTCGGTCTGTTAGTGGATCTATAATAAGAAAAAGCTGGAAAAGCGAATTTTAGCCATTCCAAGGTTTGGACAATGTAGTCTATAGCCCATTATTTTCCCCGTTTGTCAGTTTTAACGTTAATTACTCTGTTTGTCTGTCAAATTGTCTATCTGTCCATTAAAAGCTCGATAAAACTCACCAGTTCCACAGAAATTCATCGTCAAATGCTCGGCGCCACAGCTGGGCATGGCCGATTCCGAAATATGGAGGTATTCCGCGCATTCTCCACGACAGTACACGGTACGGATTATATCAGCTACCGCCAAATCCAAGCTGACAAACGCCAGAAGCAATAATCCTTGCCACGCCATGGTTTTTGATGATTTACTGAAAAAGTACGGTTTTAGGGTTTGAAAAGTCAAAATCGAGGGTAATGGAGGACAGCAAGCGAGTATAACTTAAAGAAAATCAGTCAGTACAGCGATTTAATCATATATAAATTTAATCTGAAATGTGATAGAGCGAAAAAAAACATTAAAAGACAGATTGGAAGTAGATTTGTTGAAATGAAGAGGGCAAGGGGTAGCTAAATTTGTGTCTATCTGTCTGTCTGTCTCCCCCTCTCTCTCTCCCTCTCTCTCTGGGAACTGATCAGCCAGGAGATAAGACGCGGAAGTTCAACAGCAGGAGATGTCTTGCCCCCCCTGCACCCCCAATCACTCAATCACTACATTTCACACTTATTTACAGTCTATCGTTCATAGGAGCGGAGAGGAAAATTGAGAAGTGTTCTCCTTCTGGCTTTTAGCAATAGATTCAAAAGATCAAAAGAATTCTTTTTAGAGTTCAATGGTTGTTTTTTAACAAATTTCGTCGTTAAATTCAACTCTCTGTTTCCTATAAAACTCAGGTGCCTTTTCTGTCGACAGCAAAGCGATTAGAATAGTTCTTCTTTATTTTTATTTTTCGCAACCGTAACTAGAGAATCCATTAAATGTGGAGAGAGAGAGAGAGAGAGAGAGAGCGAGAGACGGACCAGAAACAAGGAAGCATACTATCTAAAACCGCAAAGATCCCCCTCTTCTCCCCAACCCCCCCCCAGAAAACGCCTTTTTGAGATAATTGCTAGGCAGCTAGGGGAGAAATGAGCTATTTTCTCCGAGCCGGAACTAAACTGGCTTCCAATAGATGTTGCGACTTCCTAGTGTTTGAAATGGGCTTGGAAGTCAGTTTAGAAAATGACAGCCAAGGAACAAGATTTCCGTCAAATGTACAGTGTGTAGTGGGTCGGAAATGAATGGGAGGGGGGAGACAGTTCCCTTTCTTTTCTTTTCTTACTGTCTCCCACGCTATCCTATAGAAACCCTGCAGAAATATCTGGGTTCGATAGGGAATGGGCGGAATGGACGGAGAAATGAAAGAGACTGTATTTTGGAGGGTAGATGGCTAGCAGAAACCATTTGGGAAGGGAAGCTAGCAGAGATTATTTTCCGAATTGGTAGAATGGCCGACAGATAGGCGGATTTCAGATAGTTAGCAGATATCACCGACGAGGGCCAGCTAGCGGAGATTATTTGCGGAATGTATAGATTGGCTGGCAGCTAGATGAATACGGAATAGCTAGCAGAGATCATTCAGGAGGCATGCTAGCAAAGATCATTTGTCGACCTGGCAAGCTGCGAGAGGTTAGGTGAATTCTGGTAGGGCACGCGAGCAGAGATCATTTGGGAAAATCTCGATCAAAACCACGGAAATATGGCAAAAGGATGGCAGAGATCAAATTCGGTACTTTATTTATCAAAATTTTCCAGAAAAAAACTATTTATCAGACCGAACAAAAACGGTTGCGGAATTTTTCAACTGAAAATTTCGAGTCTAAATTTGGGTTTAATGCTTATCAGCTAGAACAAATGTCAGCGTGACTAATAGTCGCGAAAAAATTCGGATTTACATCTAAAAATTACGCGGAAACTCGAAAATGATGTCTGTAGTGATGGTGATTAGATGAGGTGGGAGACAGATGGGCCAAAAACAGACAGAACACTGGGGAACCACCAATAATCCGTTCTGGGGAAAGGAACGGAAGGAATGAGGAACAAGATGCCATCTTCTGAAGAGAGAGAGAGAGAGAGAGAGAGAGAGAGAGAGAGAGAGGCCCAGATGCGAACACACAGGCCCTCCAGTGGCCACGCCCCCTTCTGGAAAATGGGCTTCTGGGGGGCAGAAAACGACAACAAAACACGCGCAAAAAACCTCGGAATAAAAAATGGAATTTGGAAGTAGGGTACCTGATTTGACTAATGGAGTACGGTTCGCTAAAAAAAACGCTGCTAGCAGGCCTAGAAGGTGATAATTCTAGAGGTTGGTAGGCAGTTCCGAGCCACAAATTTTCAAAAATCCTCTCTGCTAGCTTGCCTAAGCTTTTAGCCCGTCAGAAAAGCTAGCTGAATCCCAAGGAACTATCAGGAAAAACTCTAAATGTCCAAACGAGCCTAAAAATGAATTTTTAACTAGCTCGCATGTCAATTTCGCCATCTGGCGCCAAAAAATACGAACTAATGGTCTCTGCTAGCCTGCCACCAATTTTTCAGGCGAATTGAAGCCTTGGAAAAGCCTTGCTGGCTACCATAACCTATCTAAAATTAAAATAACAGCCATAAAAATTAAATTTTTGACTAGACTGACACCATTTAACCATCTGACGCGACCCCTGAAACTGGCCGGCCGCCACTTGGGTGCATCTCCGGAAAAAGACTGTAAAGGGGATGGGAAGGAAACGGGTAGGGAGGAAGAAGCTCCCCCTCCCAACGGATCGGACTGAAATCGATGGTCTCGCAAAGAAATAGAGGAAGGAAGGGATGGGTGGGAACTTTGTGGATGAGCAGATGTTTCTTCAATCAACCACCATCCAAATATGGGAACAGGAACTGAATCCGGAGCATTTTGTCCGGAATCCATTCACTTCCGGGTCAATTGGAAAGTGGGGTGGTGGCTTCTGACATACAGGGAATTAAATCGGCCCTGATTTGCAGGCAAAAAGAGCCTAATTAATTCAGATACCTTCCAGGGTACCTAATTTTCAGTAACAGAGGTACCTGAATTTTCTAAAGCCCTTTTTTGCCTCCATAGCCTCCGTTGCCAGCCAAAACGTACGAACGGCATTTTTTACGTGCCAACCCGTATATAGGAATCTTCGTACTCGTTGAGTACCCGGAAGCTCGGACAGATTGAACAGCTCTCTTCTATGGTTCTTCTAATAAGGCAGGTGCCCTCGAAGCGGAAGTTTCTTTCGAGGAGGCTCGCCGTTTATTTTAGTATTTTCGCTTATGGGAAAATGGAAGTAAGGCTGGGAATAGAAAAACCGACAGTCAAAAACATCAAAATAAAAATATAAAGTTACGGTAGAGGGTATCCTACTATATATAAAAAAATAGTGTCGGGGTGTGTGTGTGTGTATGACACTTTGCTGCCCTTCCGTCAGCGTGTCGGAGGTATCTCAAGAGGGGAGGGGTGTAAGGAAGTGTTTGATACGTCATTAGATGCGTAATGGGCTGTAGATGACTGCACACACATCAGATTTTTTAAAATATGTTGTTTTCGATATTAAATAGTTTTCGTAAAATTCGGCCGCCCACTTTGTTGGAAATTAGCTACGCCGGAAGTTGCAGTAGCCTATATAAAGGCCCAAGGGCCATTTTTCATTTTTTTTTCATCGGTTGAGGCACATTATCAAAATAAAGAACATCATAGGTTAGGGGCCAGGGTTGGTCGGAGCGCTTTCCTAATTTTAAAAATGCTACCCGAACCCTCAATTTATCGGTAAAAGCGAAAGTTTTTATCAAAATATACTTATTTTTGGTCAGTTTGAATTTTCAATAGTACGGGGTAGCTTAAAATGCGCGAGACAACCCAAAGTGACCTACGAAAAACACTGGAATCAACCCCCCTAGGGGGAAATGTGGGTCGCATCGAGAAGAGAGGTACAGGGACAGGGGAACTTGTCGCTCCCATTCTCTTCTATTATCGGCTTTAAATCGAAATAGAGAGAGAGAGAGAGAGAGAGAGAGAGAGAGAGAAAGAGAGAGAGAAGCGGAACACACAATTCCACCTCCACCCCAATATCCGCCTTTTGACCGAGTCGGGGATGAGCCGCCCAAAATTTATGGGCTTGCTTTTTGGACTGTCTGGTGATCGAGAATTTTAATTACGCAATTTTTGGGAGTACTGTAGGTCAAAAACTACGAAATTGACTGCCAGAGAAGTCGAAATTAAGAAAAAACAGGCTAAAATATTAAGGTGAAAATCAAGTACTGGGATACTTATCTATAATGGAAACATACATGGTTTTTCACGTCAATTTTATCATTTTTTAGGCTACTGTAGGTTATAAATCGGCTTTTTGAGAGCCTGAGATTACGAAACCACCACGGAATTTAAAAATATGGCTAAAATAGCAAGTTGGAAATCAGGTGCCCGGGACCTCGCCCCGGTACCTGAATTTTTGTACCAAAAGCTAAAGGGCCGGCCAGAGTTGCGATCCAAATCCAAAACCCACCGGTTTTCGAGGTTGAATGGCGGGATTTTGGGTGGCTGTGGGGGGTTCCATCTCGTGTGATTCGCATCCCTTTTCAGCCCCTCCATCCTCCCGTGCTGATCCTTCCCCCCGATCCCTTCCCCCCTTGGGGGGTTACGGTAGACCGGACATATCATCTTCTGCTCCGACTGGCCCCTCAAGGAGAAGCAAAAAGTCTAATACGGTAGTCGACAAAGTGGAGAGAGACAGAAAACATCGACTTTGGGATGGAATTGGGGGCTGGATTATTCCCCCGAGGGGGAACTTCCTCGAACTCCACGGTCCATTACCAAAATTGGACATTCTGTTCGTAATGTGGTATGGGGGACAGCTTAAAAAGTCTGAGCACTGAAACTGGCTAGAAAATTCTGAAAGTCAGAAAAAAGTACGAATTATTGAGGAGGGAGGTACCTGCAATTTGATAATAATTGATAAAATTTTCTGAACTTTTTCGATTTTAATGTCGCAATTGGATGGTAGATGAGAAAAAAGGCTTTACTTATTTTAATAGACCATAAAATATTTATATGGCGTAACTGTTTTAGTGAAATTCGATGGTATCTGAAATTAATAGACACGATTTCCTACAGGATATCTCAAAATTTGCTCAGCTTTCCGATTTTAATGTCGTAACTGGTTGTCAGAAAACAGAAGTAAATCACCAAAAACTTACGAGAACATCCGCCAATAATATTTTTGTGGCCAGACTAGCCTAGCGCGAGCAGGCAATAAGCCATCTTCCAAACAAAAAATAGCCGGTCTAGCCCCCAAAAGCCCCCGAAATTAAATAGCAACAACCACAAATCCGCACCAGCCACCGACAGCATGGAAAAAGCACTGTACCCCAAGCTGAAAAGCCGAAATTCTTGCTCGATTCAAAATTGGAAAATTCGCGGGGTGGGAGGGGACTGTTGCGAGGTACACTGGATGGCATTCATGCCAAAATGAGGGGAGAGAGGGAGAGAGAGACGAGGGGAACACAAAAAAAGGGAAGTGAAATTGGAAGGAGGAAGTCATGAGTCTCCCTCTCACCCTCCCCTTTCCCGCTCAAATTGATTCCTTCAACACAACCAGGCAGAGAATAGAGGAGGAAAATCGAGACAAAGAGAGAGAGAGAAAGACCGAGAGAGAGAGAGACAGAGAGAGGGAGAGACGGAAAATATCGGCATAATCGAGAAAAACGGGTTTCGTACAACTAGCTGGGTGGTCTGACTGGCAACTGAATATTATACAGGTTTTCGAAAAAAATGTCAGTTTATAATTTTTAATAATTTATAATTTTTTAATAATGAAAATTCAGGTACCCTCGAGGGTACCTGATTTCACAGAGCCCTGCAAACTCCAGTCAACTCTCCCCACCACAAGTCAAAGTGCATCATCTCCATCACGGTATGGCACTCATTCTCTGTCTAGCAGAAGTGCTTTTGCGTGTCAAAGCAGATCAACATCCGCCTCTAGCCAGCCTCCTAGCTGTCTTCTCTGTTTTCCTCATCTCCTCCTATTTCGGGGGCCGGGTTCCGGTTCCTTGTTGGGGCCCACGAGGGCCTCCGTTGCAAAGCAGAGGGGAGAAAGAGGAGAGGGAGCATCGACTTTCTCTGCCTCTCCTCCTCTCAGCTAGGGGCCCACTTCCGGGTGCTCGTCCTCCTCTTCCTTCTCTTCTTTCTTTTCGGGAGGACCACACATCGCAACAAAACCCGGTTCCCTAGCCTCCCCCTAGGGCCCGACAAACGTTTTTTCTGCAGAAGTGGCGGGCGGTTACGAAAGGGAGCAAAATACTGCAGCTGGAGTGTTAAAAAATTTAGGTACCTTTTTCAAATAAATCCAAAATTTTTCGAAAATTGCTGGAAATGAACACTAATAATACAGTTTCAGCTACGACCTACAAGTTTAATGAAATCCTATGCTAACTTTTTAAATTATCCACTGTTCCTAAGAACTATGAAGCCCCGGGAGCACACAGTACCTCCAAAACGCCTCAAAAATTGCTTCCTGGATCTCACAGAAATAAGGGGGGTAATTGCAGAAAATGGCGCCCCAGCCATGGCCGGAAATTACATTGGCGCCCAGGTGGAACCCCAGAGAAGGAAATGAAGGCGAAGCGATCTATGCAACGGTTTTTTGGTCTTTTGGAGGGAAGGAAGGTGGTGAAGGCGAATTACCTTCATAATGCCGATTTTCATAATGCCGATTTTCATAATGCCGATTATTATAATGCCGATTTTTCATAATGCCGATTTTCATAATGCCGATTTTTCATAATGCCGATTTTCATAATGCCGATTTTCATAATGCCGATTTTACAGAATGCCGATTTTACAGAATGCCGATTTTCATAATGCCGATTTTCATAATGCCGATTTTCATAATGCCGATTTTCATAATGCCGATTATTATAATGCCGATTCTCATAATGCCGATTTTCACGATGCCGATTTTTCATAATGCCGAGTATTATAATGCCGATTCTCATAATGCCGAGTATTATAATCCCGATTCTCATGATCCCGATTATTATAATGCCGATTCTCATAATTTTCTATTCTCATAATTCTCATAATTCAAAACCTCCAGATTCAGCCGCAAACGTTTAGAACGCGCATACCAAGGCTCGGAACCGTGTTCGGGAGATGGTGACTCCGATTACGGGCAATCTGTTGGCGCTCTCGTCGCACCCGTCCTGGCTCACCATGACGACAGCGTCATTCGCCCTACTATCCAAAGCCTGGAACAAGTCGGACGAAGAGCTCGAGTTCAGGATTACCCGGCCAATCCCGCAGATCTCAAGAATCTGCAAGTCCCCGTTAAACTACAGTATTATGATGAGGGTATTAATTAAAAAATGTCGAAAAATTATTAAATAATTTCGACGGTTGAAGAATGTTCATTTATCGCGGTCTGGGGTAAATCGGGCTTTTAATGCAAAATCAGCCCTATGTAAAATCGGCATTATGAAAATCGGCATTATGAAAATCGGCATTATGAAAATCGGCATTATGAAAATCGGCATTATGAAAATCGGCATTATGAAAATCGGCATTATGAAAATCGGCATTATGAAAATCGGCATTATGAAAATCGGCATTCTGTAAAATCGGCATTCTGTAAAATCGGCATTATGAAAATCGGCATTATGAAAATCGGCATTATGAAAATCGGCATTATGAAAATCGGCATTATGAAAATCGGCATTATGAGAATCGGCATTATAATAATCGGCATTATGAAAATCGGCATTATGAAAATCGGCATTATGAAAATCGGCATTATGAAAATCGGCATTCTGTAAAATCGGCATTCTGTAAAATCGGCATTATGAAAATCGGCATTATGAAAATCGGCATTATGAAAAATCGGCATTATGAAAATCGGCATTATGAAAAATCGGCATTATAATAATCGGCATTATGAAAATCGGCATTATGTAAATCGGCATTATGACATTAACCCGGTGAAGGCATCAGTAGCACAGTGGCAAGTGGAGGGTATCTGAATTTTCAGGTACCCATCCAGATTCGATTTTTGGCGTTATTTAGACGCGCGGTCCTGGTTCCACGAGTCCGCTCAGTTGTTGGTCCGTTCTAAAAGGTAATATGGCAGCTAAGCAATCGACCACAATTTTGTCACTTTCGAGTGCAATCTGCGTGCGCAGGTCGGCGGCGTGGTACGTGCGATCGGTGGCTCTGTTTCCGCCAATCTCCCGGCCAGCGGTTCCTTGTTGTATTGTGTCGTGTGATGGATGGCTAGCCATTTCAGCCCGCACAATTTATCGTCTCTCACCAAATGGATCGTCGGTCTGTCTGTCTGACTCTCTCTCTCTCTCTCTCTCTCTCTCTCTCTCCTGTCAATCTCTATTCCGCCTGATTGACTGCTTGCCTTCCTCAAGAAATGGCTGCGAATCGAAAGAAGAAGGGGGCTGACCCTGGCATTTTTGGATACCGCTGATAAATCATGGGGAACGAAATGTATCGGTTGGTTGGAGGGCAGTTAATAAAAAAACTGTATTTTGAAGTTGTAATTTTAAGGGGAGCGTGGCAGTTCAGGGATTTAGTTGTCAGACAGGCTGCTGGAGCTTTCTAAACCATAGCCTCGGGGGTGCTTAAAATTTCAGGTACCTTCTGGGTACCTGAAATTAAAGGGCTGCCGACGGCATGTGTCGATCCCCCCTCATCAACAAATTGGCAAGTAGCCAACAAGGGAGAGAGCGCGCCCAGGGGAGAGGCGCAGAGACATTTTCTTTTCCGCGCGTAACCGATTGCCTATGCCGTCGGCATCCCTTTAAAGGTACCTCAGTACCTGAATTATCTGCTATCTGCTTCAGATACATAAGCGGTTTCCTGAAAACCTTGTTCCGCTGATTTCCTCCTTCCACCTAATTACCGTAATCCGCCCCATGCCCTCCAGTTTCTTTCTTCCTTTCTTTTGAATATCCGGGGGGCCCAGCCACCTTTTTGTTAGCTATACAAAATTCCTTCCCGCTGGGAATTTCCCCACCCCCGGATTACCTCCCTTCTTTTTTTGGCTACAAAAATATCTCGCTTCGAGACGGACACTTCTTGCAGCCTCTCCGAAATCACTTCCCGTTCTGTTCCCTCGGAAATTCCCGCGGTATATTGCAGCCCAAAAAAGAAGCAAGCACCCCGTGGGGATTAGCTAGAAAAATTCCGAACGGGGACCAACTACAAATACGGGAATTCAGAAGAGAGAACCTAAAAACAGGAAATGGAATTGGAGCTTGTTTTCCAGGGGTGCCCGTGCGCGTAAAATGGGGGACGGAGAGGGTTTGGGTGGGCAATGCGGAAGTTATGGGTATGAGTCGGTAATTGGGTGGATTCCAGTCTGGTGGTAGGTGAGTGGAAAAAACCCGAAAAATCGGATATAATGATAATATCTAGAAAAACAGCGGATTTAACTTGCAGTTTTCGAATAACTGTCGCCCGGTGCAACTAAAATCCAAGGTTTTAATTTTCAGCAAGAAAAAATTCAGGTACCTAGGTACCTGAATTTTCCAAAGCGTTCGAAGCCTGTTTCGAGTTCAATTAGATTGTATACAAGCTAAATGCCATAATTTTTATTTACTGGCAAAAGGCCAATTACAATTTATCATGTTTACCTATTTCAAGGAAAAAGTGAGGTACCTGAAACCTGAGGTATCCAGGTACCTAAATTTCCCCAAATGTTTTCCAGACGTTTCTCCGGTCCACGTAGATTCTCCGCCATCCAGAAACCCTCAAAACACCGTTTATTCCGAAAAATAAATAATGTACACCAAACTGGAGATAGTACAGTCTCGTACTACCCCCTAAAGACAAGCCGTGAAACATCCATATTGGCATTTGTTGATGCAATGGGTCGAGGGGCAGAATTGGCGGCATAAATCCGAGCATTTTGGAAGGCACGTATTATAGTCCGTCTAAAGATGTCGGACGTAAAACAGAAAAATAGGATTACAGTACCTGTCTGGGCATTCTCGTAGTTTTTGGGGCCATAGTTGGGGCAGCCATGGGTTGGTTGTATTGCAATTGGACAGAGGATACGGTAGCCGTAGTGCATACTGGGCTACACACTTTCTCACAGCCACATTGCTTCGGGGTTAGCTGGCTGTCGCGGCATGCTGACGCGCAGGCTTGAGAACAGGCATTACATGGGGTCTGAAACGGGGGTTAAAATCGATAATTGTTTGCCGGATTGTAGTTTGTAGTTTTGTGCATTTTTTGTCAGTTTGTGGTTTTAAATTAAATTTAAGCGACCTGTGGGATTCGTTGGGTGACAGTTTGCGTTTTAGGCGAGACGACAGGTTGGCTAAAGGTATATGTAAAGTTATATAGGGTAAAAATCGATTTTACCACGCGCAATATGGCGTCCCCTGCCTCGTGACGGCGCAACGACAATGTGTAGGGCTATAAAAATTAATGAAAATATTCAAAAAATTTTAAACGATTTTTAAACCCTAAAATCAGGTACCATTTACACGTGGGTTGCTGGTAGAGAGGAATTGTCTGCTGCATTTCTACTTCCATCTGAAGACAAGAAGCGCATTGTCGCTTCCCACGCACAATCTGGAACACAGTTAGGTAAACGGACCGTCAAAATATGAATTTATCCGATTTTCGAGGTATCCGGTGTCAATACCGTACCAACTGGCCGGTGACGCACACAAAAAGCGTAAAATGTTTATAAGCAATAAATCGAATTCTATTTCCTTGTTATTTTCGTGGATTTGAACACTCTGCCGGACAATTAGGCGATTTTTCTAGCGTATGCTTTCAGAAAACTAAAATATAAGGATCTTGGGGTTTTTTTTGGCAGCCAGCGTAGAGAAAAACAGAAATTATGGCCAAACCACTAATAGAATTCTATTTTCTGGCGGTTTTCCTTATTTTTAAACGCTATGCCAGGCAGTTAAGCCAATTTTCAGGTTTATGCTTACATAAATTAAAATCTGAGCCATACCTGTTTTCCACTGACTGCCAGTGCCGAGGTACAAACAAAAATCAGGACAAAAATCGTTCGCATCGCCTCGGTGCGGAAGCGGAAACGGCAACAACAAGAGGAGGAATAAGATGGGGAAGGAATGGTCCATTCTGCACCTCCCACCCACCCCCCACGTGTCATAAGCCGCTTTCTGGCGCCTCGTTAAGGACTAGGGTGTTAGCATTTCCTTAGTACATGGACGAACGGGTGGACATACAATGTCCCGAATTGCTGATTTCCCGTCAGTTTAGGGAATGGAAAGTCTGGAAGTGACTTAGAGTTGCTTTCTGGCAACCAAAAAAAGCAGTAAGAAAACATTTTCAAGCCGAAATTAACGAAAATAAGAGGTGGTACATGAATTTGGGGTAACTGAATTTGAGGTACCTTATTTCTGCTATCCAATTTAAACAATCGATATTCACTTACATAAGGCCTGCGCGTGTCCTTCACCAAACCTTTAAAATGGTATCAAAAAATCCTACCTAAAGGGTCCGGCAAGCCAAAAACGAGTTACCTACATAATGCCGATTATTATCATGCCGATTCCGATAATGCCGATTTTGCGTCTTTTCGCAGGGTACTAAGCCATTTTTTTCGACGAACACTAGGTTTTGGCAATATATTCCAGGTCTTTCTAATGCATTCTATTTGTTACACAAAAATCTTACAAAATTGTCAAAAAAATCTTTTCCGCTGACAGGCATCGGAGACTGAATTTTCAAGGACCGTTTTGATTTTTGATTCAGGGTAATAAAAATCTACTATACAGGGTGTCCCATAAAAAAAGCACCCCTCCGGCATTTCGCCGTATTACATCCGATCGGTCCGAAATTTGGACCAGAGGTGTATCAGACCCTAAATAACCACAATCCTGAGTTATAGCCCGCCAGCTACAGTAATCTTCGAGATACAACAAAAATAAACTTTATTATCCGTTTTTCATATGGTTTTCGTCGAAATCGACCCTTCGAATATAAAGTGAAAATGAAGCGGCAAGCCTGCTTTACCCCTAGAGATTTTTTCTGATAAAAATTATTGGAATAACCGCTGATTTCAACAATTTTTGTAACGCAAAGTCACCCCCAATATTAAGTGAAATTAGGGATTCGCAGACGGAAGTCGATGCAAATCGATGCAAAGTCCAAAAAGATAGCCGAAAAAAACTGATAAGAACCGCGTAAAAAACAGTATTTTGATGATAACTCGAAAATTACTGTAGCTGGCGGGCTATAACTCAGGATTGTGGTTATTTAGGGTCTGATACACCTCCAGTCCAATTTTGGGACTTTTGGGATGTAATACGGCGAAATGCCGGAGGGGTGCTTTTTTTTGGGACACCCTGTATATAAATTTCTAATGTTCGTCCGTTCGCGCGACTGGGAATTCAGCCAAATCCGGCATTCAAATTCCAAATTCAAATTTTTTTCGAGGGGGGGGGAGGGCCAGCGCTGAACCGCCGCGTAGCGGGGGGGGTCAGCGCTGGTTGGAATATCAAACACTAGTGGCTTAGCGCCCTGAGAAGAGTAGCAAAATCGGCATTATAAGGATCGACATTCTAAGAATCGGCTTTATGTAAAATCGGCATTATTATAATCGGCATTATGAAGATCGGCATTCTATAAATGGGCGTTATGAGTATATACCGTCAAAACCTATAGCCCCGGCTCAGCGCTTTTTGCTTGCAATGAACCTTTAAGATGCGGAATCCAAAAGATGCTTTGCCGGCCTGCCGGGTCCCTTTAAAATGGGTTCATCGCGATTTAAAGGGTCGATGGAGGCAAAAGGACCCGGTTCCTTTTTCTTTTCTGACTTGCAAGTCCCTTTAAAATCCAATTTACGTCTTTTAAAGGAGTCACCGAATATCGTGAATTTTCGCGGTCCGTGTCACCAAATATCGCGTTGCGTGTCGCGTAGCGTACAGCGTAGGAAACTATCCGAATCACAAGCACTCCAAAAATGCTTAGGACCCCGCAAAAAGAAGCATGGCAGTAATAAATCGATTCGCAGCAGGAAGGCAGGCTAGCAAAGATTCTTTGAGTAAAGCCTTAAGCATAATCCTAAGCTAATCCCTTGCTTATCAGAAGGAAGGCAAACGTAGCAAGCACAAGCGACAGTTCGACCCCCGCCCGTCACAGAAGTTCTGCTTTTTGCCTTACCAGGTTTCTTTCATGAATCTTCTTGTAAAAAGCCTAACTGGCTGCCAGAAAACCCCATGTAAAAACAGCAGAAATATTTCGATCGCTGGTTCGTGAGTTACAGTACCCGCGGGTTCGACCCCCGCCCGCAACCGACTTTTTTGCTTTTGGATGCATTTTTCGATTCTGAATTTCAGGCACCCCCGATCCGTGCGGGCCTGGAGACGCTCGTCGACGTGCGGTCGATCAGATGATGATGATTGGCCGCTTGAAGGGGGCACAATCTGTCGACTACAAGATACAACTACCGTACACATTCGATTACAGCCTATACTTGAAGTGCCATCTATCTATCTCTCGGTTTTTCCATATCTCCCTCCATTTCTCTCGCCCCTAATCTCATTTATACAAGCAAAAGCCGGCACTGATACCCCCAGTCAGACCATTTTTTGCTTACCGTAATCCGTTACCGTATAAAAGTATTTTTTGCCATTTTGTTCGTTTAACTGCTTATATTAACTGCTGTCTGAATACGATAGAATAATATGCTTGGTTCTCGAGTTACAGTACGCCCTGGTGCGGCCGTGACGGGAAAACTGGCTTCCTTCCTTTGTCGCTATCCCTTGAATTCACGCACGCTTTGTTACTACCGTAACCCACCTTCGACTAAAAGTTTTTTTTTATTGACCGGCAGTCGTTTCACATCCACAAAAATTTAGCTCAGACGCCAAAACCTCGAGGACAAAAACTACACATACACTACCCCGGCAAAAATCAGCATCGCCTGAAAGCTCAATCCACGGAATTAAAGAGGAGAAGTGCAAACCCATACTCAATCTATGCGTGGAAGATCAATAAAGATAGATGCAACAACGGTCAATCGAATATCGAAATAAGCTTTCAAAAATAAGGGCCCAAAAAGGTCGGAGTCCATCTAAAAAAAACTAAAAACTCACTAAAAAACTTTTCCCCGAGCCCAAGTGCTTTCATTTAATATCTAATTCCCTTAACTGACAAGCAATGTAGCGAGAAAATATCTTACAATAGACTACAATGCCCAAATACTCCCTAATTCACTTTCTAAATACATCCAAAGCCAAGCATCACTGGATCGAAAATGTGCCTAAATGGCCGGAAAGTGGGAAAATCTATACAAAATGGTTACTACGCGTGTCAACTTAGAAAAAAACCAAAAAAAGTTACGCGCAAATTCTTAGAAAGGAGCGAAGAATGAGTGGAAGTGGAAGCGGAAGCAGCAACGGAAAGGACGAGGAGAGCCTCAAGTACGAAACACGCCAAATGACGCGTCGTTAGCCCTAGAAATCGCTGTGAAGCAAAGTCGAGTCGAAGCGAAGCCTGGAAGTGAAGTCGAGTGAAAGATTTATCAAAATCAAGCCCCGAATCCCATTGCCCCGGGGACTGGAAAAGCCAATCAGACGCTTCTTCTAATTATTTTCTATTGAATTATTGTTTGAAATTCTTAATTGGCAGACATTCTATCAAAAACCGCAGTATATTCATTCAAAATACACAATTCCAATAGGAGGATCATTGATTGCATCCGGAGGGCCACTGAAATTCAATTCCCGAGAACCAATAGAAAAACTCTCGATCAACAATCAATTAGGCTCCATGGCCGAAAGAACGAAAGGCAATCAACAAATTATAAAGAATTTGTGAATTTGTGCGCAGAATCGATCTTATCTCATCTCATCTTATGCTGTAGCGTCCGTCTGTAATCTGGCTGATTCAACTTGAAGGGGAAAGAAGCTGACACTTGGATCTCAATGTTTTTACTTCAATTCGACCGCGCTGAGTTCAAAATCATCGAAATCCGAATGCAAAAATGACAATTAGGGGGCGAAAAGTAGGTTTTTGTACTTGCCGGGGTGATTGCCAGATGGCGCGCGACTCGGTAAATTTTCACCCAAAATCCCATTCGTTTCGGCTTTTCGTGGCTTGTGGCCGCCCAGAAATATGAAAATTATAAATGAATCAATATAGCATTACTATCGAAACATTTTAACACTGTTTGCCGAGCTTTTTGGGGCATTATCTGGTAGATTTTCGATACTTTAGCGCGAGATTTGTCTAAATTCTTACTTTCTAGCTTTACTTCCGTTGTGGCTTCGTTCGAATTTGCATTCTCGATACAATTTACATGCTTTTAATAGTTTCTGGCTGTATTTCTGTTGTTTCACGGATCAATTATTCCGTTTTACCGCTTCTGGAGATACGTTTTGTAGCTCTTTTCTGTTTTCGAACTTTCGAATCGCGAAATTGGGCTTTGAAAGCTGGTCCCAACGCTTTTTGTTCCTCTATCAAGACATTTCAGTCTTTTTAAAAGTTTTTACTAGTTAACAAGACTTTCCTAGATGATTTTATTCACTCACAAACTTTTATTCGTGGATTCTAACAGATAAAATATAGTGTTTAAGCATCATTTTTTCAGGTCTCTAACATCTACGACGCCACGGCCGAGGGCAGCGAGGATGAGCAACAATCCGTCGAATTTGCAGCCGGCCAGGGCAGGTAATTCCTATTTCACTTTTAAATTCGGCTTTTCAGGCCACTGACGAGCAAATCGACCGCCGAGCTGCCCTCCTCTCGCATCAAAAGCATGCCCTCCTCGAGTGGTACAAGCCGTACGGTCGGTTTTTGGACATTGAAGAAACGCCGATCGGATGGAGCGCAAAATTCTGAGCAAAAATTGGCTTAATTTCGAGTTTTTCATTTTTTAAACCCTTTTCATAGCCAAATCTTGCTCAGAATTTCGCGTTCTATTTCTTGCCGTGTATAATTGCGATTTTATTACAGGCATCGATGGCATCATCTCGGCGTGCAGCTGCCCGAGCGCCGTCCATCGGCGGAATAACGTCTTTTCTTACACCTCGGCAGGTATTTCACGGTTTTTATTAGATTTTCATATTCCAGGTCGATGGGGTTGTCGCCGAGTCGACGTCGCGACGGCGCCTGCCTCGATGAATGGAGGCCGTTTGGTCGGTTTTTGGACATCGACGACAAGCCGATTGGATAGAGCGCAGAATTCTGAGCAAGTTTCGGCTTTTTAGGAACGGAAATACGCATTCTAAGGCAGTTTTCCATCAATTTCTCGCCTAAATTCAAAATTAAATACATATTTTGCTCGTAAATCAATTTCCGGTGTTTTGATACCATTTTTAAAGCCGAACCTTGCTCAGAATTTCGGGTTCTAGCTTTTGCCCTTTTGTAGTAATACTTTGAAGCGATTTCGCAGATTTTTAGGTCTTTTTAAAAGTAGAAAGTGGTTCCGAATAGCACGCCATTTTTGACCGTGTACAATTCCGATTTTTGCAGGCATCCGTCTGTCTGTCTGTCGTCATCAGCAACAGGATCGGCAAATGTTTCAACAATCTCAGCAGGTATGCGACACTTTTATATCAGATCTCCCGAATTTCAGGGTATTCGACGGAGCCCGGATCTTCATCGTCATTCGGGGAGAGCCGTATGTCTGATTGAAGAGAAAGGTGCGTTAATGGCAACGAATTGACAACGCCTCAAATTCGGAAACGGAGCTGCGGCGCCTCAAAGTTGCCAAAAAACCGGAGGCTCTCGACAAAATTGGGAGTTTGGGCTTGGACATAGCCAAGGCCTAGTGAGGTCGAACTCCGGGGTTTGAAATACTGAAATTGTGATTGTATAGGGAGGCCATTAAAGTTCAGCCTAAGCATTTTCGAGGCAGTTTCGGGTGGTTTCCCCCTTTTTTGCCAATTTTTTGCGAGTTGGATTCGGTTGCGAGTTTTGGACATTGTTGACTGAGGGAGATGCAAAATAATTTGAGAATGAATGCTTTCAGGTAGTATGTTTCTGGTGTTCGAGGGCCGCCATTGGAGGAAGAGAGAGACGAACGGCCCCGCCCACCTCTTCACCATCACCAATCCGCGTAAAGAGACCGTATGCATAAATTGGCTTAGGCTTAGCTGACTTACTTAGGCTTCACTTAGTGGAGCTTTGCTTATTCAGGTTTTTCTTAGCTTAGCTCGCTTACCTAGGCTTTACTTAGTTTAGCTTACTTTTGTTAGCTGGCTGACTTAGGCGTTGGCTTTGATTTTGCTTTGCTTAGGCCTGGACTTATCTTAACTTGGCTTAGACTTATAGATACGACCAATAGGGCCTTCAAAGTCCTTAAATAGAATGATTCCTTGCAGGCGGCATTCGCGTTCCGGCTTCTTTGGGATACGGCGATGGCTGAAGCAAGATCGGTGGCAGATAACACGATGCCGACTCAGGTAAATGATTCAGACTTCGTTTCGACTTAGCTTTACTTTGCTGGCTTAGCCTTTAACTTAACTTGCTTAGCCAGCTTAAATTAATTTAATTGTACAACTTTTACATTTTTCAGGTATACTTTCTCGACGAGGACGATGCTCCATGACAATGAGGTCAGGCAACGGTATTCTACGGTTTTTTTTTGAAGGTTTTATTTTCACATTCAGGTTACTTGAACTGGTCGATCAACCATCCGAAGAGAACAGCTGCAGCACGAAGCATTGCAACAATTTCTTTTATTACAAAAATCAATTTTATTTTCAGATGCAAAGAAGAAGATGCATCGCAGAAGACAATTCATTCTCAGGCGGATCCCGACCAGGTATCAGCTATTCGACCCAATTATTATTTCATTTAGATTTTTTCGTGAAGCTTCCGGCGGCTTCCATCGGGCTTCTCCTCGACGGCTCTTCAAGACGAACAAACCTATACCAATTTTTATTTTTTGTTGTTTTTTTTATTTTGTGCAATGTATTTTGTTTGTATAAATCTTATTTTTTGCATAAAAAATAAGAATGGTTTTCTTCAATTGCGTTGAATCGCCCCATTTATCTCAGAACGTCAATTTTTAGTCGAGCTTTGCACTTTCAGTTTCAAGCGGGCGGAATAGCATGATATGACATTTAATACATCGCGCATTGCTGTCCCATGATTTTCCCTGGGGGTCTCTGCTAGTTGTCAGCGGGTCGGCCCCGGGGATTTTGAACTGAATTTTGGCAAAACGTTCGCAAATCGGATATTGGGGTTGAGAGCGTGGATTCCTAAGTCAGATTCTAAGTTTATAAAGCTCGAATCCGTTATAATTTCTCGATTGGAATTCTTTCTGTCACGCAGAGACCATAATTGGCCGTTGATCGAGGACTTTTCGATGTTTTTTGAGCCAGATTACAGAAAGGCGGCGCCGAAGCGACCATTGACGACTAGGGACGCGAATTCACAAACCAGATACTGGGTTTTTAAAGCACAAATGCTTTATAATTTGTTGATTGCCTTTCGTGGAGCATAATTGATTGTCGATCGCGAGTTTTTCTATTGGTTCTCGGGAATTGAATTTCAGTGGCCCTCCGGATGCAATCAATGATCCTCCTATTGGAATTGTGTATTTTGAATGAATATACTGCGGTTTTTGATAGAATGTCTGCCAATTAAGAATTTCAAACAATAATTCAATAGAAAATAATTAGAAGAAGCGTCTGATTGGCTTTTCCAGTCCCCGGGGCAATGGGATTCGGGGCTTGATTTTGATAAATCTTTCACTCGACTTCACTTCCAGGCTTCGCTTCGACTCGACTTTGCTTCACAGCGATTTCTAGGGCTAACGACGCGTCATTTGGCGTGTTTCGTACTTGAGGCTCTCCTCGTCCTTTCCGTTGCTGCTTCCGCTTCCACTTCCACTCATTCTTCGCTCCTTTCTAAGAATTTGCGCGTAACTTTTTTGGTTTTTTTTCTAAGTTGACACGCGTAGTAACCATTTTGTATAGATTTTCCCACTTTCCGGCCATTTAGGCACATTTTCGATCCAGTGATGCTTGGCTTTGGATGTATTTAGAAAGTGAATTAGGGAGTATTTGGGCATTGTAGTCTATTGTAAGATATTTTCTCGCTACATTGCTTGTCAGTTAAGGGAATTAGATATTAAATGAAAGCACTTGGGCTCGGGGAAAGGTTTTTTAGTGAGTTTTTAGTTTTTTTTAGATGGACTCCGACCTTTTTGGGCCCTTATTTTTGAAAGCTTATTTCGATATTCGATTGACCGTTGTTGCATCTATCTTTATTGACCCGCAACGCATAGATTAAGTATGGTCTTGCACTTTTCTCCGACTTTGTGGATTGGGTGTGCTTATGGTGTGTGGGCTTCGGGGCTTTTTGTCGCTTCAGCTAATCCTTTTTTGTTTATGAAAGTTTCTTTTTTGCCTTGGTATATTCATTACGTACATCATTAGACGCATTGCTTTTCAGGTAACGACCCTACAGCGTGCTCCCCAGCGCCACAATATCTGATAGCCGTTCTGTATCGGGTACGATATTTCATTCCATATTTGTTATTTTGATCTTTAGGAGAGCGAAGAAGCGAAGCGAAGGAAGTATCTGCCGTCCGTGCTACGTCGAGCCTCAGCCCAAGGAGCAGCTCTCGCGTCGTCTCGGCAAATTTCAGTAGGTTGGTGGCTTTATGGAGCTTTAGCCTAGCCCTAGAAAATGTCAATTTTTGAAATTTTTGAAATGAATGAAAATTTGAAAATTTTTGTAAAATTTGTATCCTAGCGTTGGAGTTAATTTTCACTTCGCGGGTGAATTGATAGACGTTTTGTGTTTGTTGACTTGAGAACGGCGATAAAGTAAACAATTCGGTAAGGGTTGCTGCTATTTATTAGATTTATGATAAATGCCACTATTTAGGGTGACGATTAATTACCTGAGCGGAAGATCAGGCTCATACTGATCCTTATTTGAGTAAAATTTTTAATCGTGAGGCGTTTAATGCTGGAGTAAGCTATGCTGGGGATTATTCACAAACGCATTTTGGACCATGGGCCCTCAATTTTTTCCAGCTAGAAAAAAGTCGGCAGGCGAAATCGGGGGCGTGCGCGGGTACGAAGCGGCGAAAAGGATCTAACAATTTCTGAGTTTGGCAGGTAGCCTCTTCAAATTAAGTGTTTGTTTGGTGCTTCCGATTACCCTACAGATACACCTAACCGGTAAAATGCATTTGGATTGAATATTAGTCCTGAGAAATAGCAAAAATCTGCGATCATTTTCGGCCGGAGCCGAATCGCCTAGAATGGGGCTCCTCAACATAAAAAGATTTTTTGAGAAAAGTGCTATTTCGTCGATGTGGTTCTCTTTTTATTAGTTTTCATGGACGCAATGTGCAATTTAGATCGTTTCCGAGGGGGTTATGGTGACTTCTAGACAAAAAAATTATCCCGTCGGTTCAGGCCTCGGCGCGCTCAAAAATTCCTGAAATTTTTCCCTTCGATTTTCATGAGGAAGCCTTATGGACAAAAGTCCTTTTGGGATACGGTTGTAGTAAGGCTTGAGCATATTTTTCCGTATCACATCAACAGATTTACGGGGAATATCAAAAGGACAGATAATTTTCATTGTCGTTTTGGCCGATTTCGTTCCGAATGTGATATCTTTTTTATCTTTTGGCTCCATTCGGTTTTTGACCGATAACGAAGTCCAAAAAGACTGGTGGAACGTATGTGAATTGTTTACATAGGATTAGCCACCTTCTGAGACTACAGTAGGCTTCAAAAGTGTAGCCAAAGCATCAGACGCCGCGTCGCCAATCCGGAATTTGTGTTTCTTGGCTTAAGATTAGTTTAGTTTAGGCTTAGCTTCGGCTTAGGCTTAGGTTTAATCTTAGCTTAGGATTAGGCTTTAGTTTAGGCTTAGCTTCGGCTTAGGTTTAATCTTGGCTTAGGATTAGGCTGTGGTTTAGGCGTAGCCTAGGGTTAGGCTTATGCTTGAAAGGTACCCATTTTTATTTGGAAACGACAATTAATATGGATTTTTCAATAAAACTGTAAATTTTAAAAAATTTATGTAGTTTGATCACAGGAAATATATCTAAATACGCACTAGGCCGGTCGTTATTAGGCCTTTTTCCGGCCCGGAGAATGAGAAAACACTTGTTGGGGATATTCAATCATTATTTATTATTTTCATAGATACGAAGAATGGAGCGACGTGACGCCGCAATACGAAGAGCTCTTTCGTTGGAAAACCGGGTCAGTACATTCCTATAGTGACCTTATTTTTCACGTTTAGGAGGCGAGTCGTCCGCTGTGGTTCTGGTTCCAGATCCGCGCTGTGCTGACGGACCCGGACGGAACCGAGGTGCGTTTTTTTATAATTATTTTGCGAATCGGACGGAATGTAACTTTGGCTCGAACTTACTTTAATCGACTTTCTAAAATTGCCTATTCCAGTGCCTTCGGCGAATTTTCGGCGATTTGAGGATAATTCCAAACGCGTTGATGTTACCGTTCACGATGAATTTTGTGGCTACGCCGAGATTTGGGTTGGTTTCCAGTATTTAATTAGAGCTTTTCTTTAGATCCGCTGAAAATCGGTGGAGCGCCGCTTTGCCGACGGATCGACACCGTTTGGATTTTTGGCAGGAAGCAGCACGTCTGGTACCACTACTTCGGCTCGTCGCGCCAGCCCCTCCAGATCACATCATCACAGGTGAGTATTTTGTGAGCCTGGTGGATATTTTTTCCGGAGGACTTTGGAATGGGCTTTCTCGTCATCCGGTGGCCAGCCTCTTGGCCCTCTGCCACATCGTCACACACTAATTTTTGGGGCTTGATATTGACTTAGTGGACAGACAGGGGCTTTGGGGGTTCAGACACGGCGCCCGCCCGGTGAAACAACAGTTATATTTTGTATACTCACAATATGCTGGAAAATTTTGCCCAACAATCTAGTGGCTTATATAAGACCCCGCCCCATTGTAGCAGTGGATGAGGAAAAGAGGGCCAAAAGCTAGCCCGGATGACGCCAGACTTGAAGGGGCTAAGAACTGCCAACCATTGACTGCGGCACGTAAAGCTACCTTTGGACTAGAATGCCGTGACACATCTTAGGAGCGACCAACTTTTCTAAACCGAACCTACCCCTAAGGTCAAGCGCGAATAAATTCCGAGATGTCCCGACTGTTAGTGGAACAAAATGTAGCTTTCTAGGTTGTACTTTTTTTCTAAACGTTCTCGTACGTGTAATTTCAAGAACGTAAATTGCTAAGGTAAAACGCATGTGATTTTTAGGCACTTGCCTTGCCGGCCAGGCCATAGGTTTTTTTCTGCCTTGCTAGCGCTTTTTTTCAATTAGTTTATCTTTTATTTCCAGAAATGGGATGACTCTTATACCATCGAAAGCCTCTAAAATAACGCTCGTGATAGGTTGAAACAGGAATTATTGTTTACTTTTTTCCAACATGTTCTTTTCTTGGCCCGGCCAGGAAAAAAACACGTGTAAATTCAAAAGTACACCCGTAAAAGTGTCGCAAGCGTTTTTTCTTAAAGGGGCTCGGAAGTCAAAATTCGCGCATTCGGGGATTGAACCTGCTGATCAAAAACGAATGGGTTACCTCGGAAAAGTACCACAAAATTATTTCAATTACGAAAAAACGTACAAAATTTGAGTAAACCGAAATGTTTTCGGGGCGAAAACGACTTTCTGAGTGCGCGGCGAATGCATGTCGTAATGCCTTGTAAGGCACCTAATCTCTCAATCTCGGTGATTTTCCATCCAATTTTCATAGTTAAAAAGCTAGCATGAGCAAAATTCGCTGAGGATTACTGAAATGCCTTCAGAATTTCTCATTTCAAGCGTTTTCACATCCAGACAGGTGCAAGAGCGCATGCGCCGCGGTCGCATCTGGAAATTTGCTAGGAATCAACACGGGAGGGCCGTGGACCAGATTTCGCAGCCCCTTTAAGGAAAATACCACAACGCAAAACACGGGTAAATCGCGCGTGTAAAAATTTTACATTCGTGTAATTGTGTGTAAATTTGCAATGGGTACCAGCCCAGGGGCATCACGAAGAGCCCCTGGGCTGGTGCCCCTACGCGAGCTTGAGGGCTTTGGTCCATTGCTGTGTCGCGGCTCTGGGTAGCGTTTTGCCAAAGATAGTAGCACCGGTCCAGCGGGCCTCTGTTTGTCATTTCTTAGCCCCTTTGAGCTTTGGCCATCAGTTTGCTTGTCTCAAATGTTTTGTGGTTGCCGAGATTTTTATTTGATTTTTCAGGGCCGATCCGTCGTTTGCCGTTGGAATTGCTCGAAATCATCTGCCAAGATCTATCGATTTTTGACGCGATTACGATGGCTATTTCAATTCCAGCGCGGATCGGAGCTGCGCTACGACTTCGGATCCAACGAAGGATTGCTTTCGTAAAGGCGGTTGCCAGAGACGACGGTGGCTGGTCTTTGAAGGTTCGCGACGTGAACGGACACTGGACGGAGACTCGGACAGAAGCGACGATGCTAATCCTTTCGGGTATTCAAATTCCCGCGATGAGACTATTGGCTGGCAATCTTGGACCCGAACGCCGACTGCCAATCATTTCGGAGGAAGTCCGAACTTCCAGGCTGTTTTTGGAGATCCACCCGGTACATGACATCCGAGAGCAGATCGCGACGTTAAGACCGGACTGGATTTGGACGCGCTGCTACCGAGATATTTCGCGAACCGTCATCAACCGTGAGGTCCCTGTCTTTATCGAGATGATAAGCACAGCTGCCCAAGCCGATATGATGCGCTATTGGATAATCCCCCGGCTAGCTTTTCAAGAATTGCCCGCTCCGGAAGAAGCGGGTTTGCTACGGGAAAGCGTCATCACACTGCTCGCTCGGTACCAATACGAATGGTTCCACAGGATTCGCGACATCGAAACTGTATATGTACGACTCAACGGACCTATCTCCTATGAACATTGGATCGTGCTAACTGACAACGCCGCCATCCAGAGGCTTAACGCGGCGAGCGATGCCATCTTTGCAATGACGCGTGACGGTGGTGAACAACTGCTAATAAGCCAGCCAACTCCCCAAACAATTCTGATGCAGTCGCGCGGCGCCACTACCCGATTTATCCGAAAACACGCCGGCCATCTACTAGACACTTACGACGAGTTCACGATTTGATAGGATTTTTCAGGTGCTGTCCCATTTGTCATGTCGTGGATTTTGTTTCACGCCATTACTGCGTTGTTTGTTCGTTCATACTTGATTTTCCGTATTTTTAAAAGTAGAATTCCTTCCCTTTACCTAAAAGCCTATATTACATATGCCAAACCAATTGTAGAGTATGCGTCCGTTATCTACTCTCCTTTTCTCAAAAAAGATATAGTCTCCCTAGAAAACCTGCAAAAGGATTTTATTAGAAAAATGTGTTACGTTGTCGCTTGCCTTATTCATCCTACCCCTCAGCACTAAAAACTTATTCTTTGGAATCGCTGAGCGATAGGCGCATTAAATCGGACCTTTCATTTCTATTTAAACTTCATCGTCATCCCTCATCCCTCATTTGGTGTCAGAAATAAATAAATAAATAAATTTTATTATTTGGGAAAAATAGATTTGGATTCGTTCGTGTGGAAATCAATCGGCCATTGCAGTCGAACATTGATGTTTGCCAGTTGGGTACCGGTACTATCGAGGGCCCATTGAATCTGAAAGCAGGGGAAGGAGTAGTCGTAGATGAGAGTGGGGGGCGGGGGCAGACAGACAGCTGGATTCTACGCTGACAGTAGTGGTCAAGTGGTTGCTGGTCACTGCCAATTTGAAGACGCGGGTTCGAATCCCCGCCGCGGCAGACTTTTTTGCTTTTTGCTTCCACTTGAGAATCCGCTATCCGGCAGCCAGAAATCACAAATTCACTAGCAAATTTCAAAGACGAACTTTAGCAGAGAAAGGTGGACAGACAAGCCTTGATACCTCATTGTTGACGATGTGCGTTTGAGTGGGATAATTTTGGGCAATGAGCACATGGATTCCGGTGGAAAAGAGATAATGTGGGAGGCCGCACATCTGCCGCAATGGCAAGTCGTCTTCTCCATAATACAACTGGAAACAAGATTACTAGCTTGCGCAAAAAAATGGATAAATTAATGGATTTCTGGTACTCTTCAAATAGGCGGGGGGCAATCTGCGTCTCTGTGCCCTCCCTGCTTTCAGGGGCGTAGCCAGAAAAAATTTCGGGGGGCCCCCAAAAAATTTTTCCAAAAAACTCAAAAGATGAACGAGGAAACAGCGCCGCAAGCAAAAATTTTTGAAAAAAGTGAAAGAATAGCGCCGCAGGCAGCAAAGTTTTTGAGAAAATAAAAATCATAAGGGTCCCCCTTACGAAATTTTCGGGCCCCGGCCGGCCAGGGGGGCGGGCCCCGGGGCCGGTATTACGCTACGTCCCTGCCTGCTTTCTAGGCACCCCCTCTGCCTACAGGGTGTATCAAAAAAAAGTGCCCAAGTTTGTCCCCAATTATCTCGAGAAGGAAAGATATTTCACCGTGCGTTACCATGCCAGAATGCTTAAATATGTCAGGAATAGGGAAATAACTCAACTTGATTTTTTCGATTTTTTGCGACGTAAGAATACAAATGACACCCGAAAACTGTGCGTTCGGGAAAACTTCATTTGCATTTTTCTCAGTTTCCTGTGGTGGCTGGCTTCTAATTTTTACAATGTAGAATAATCTAAGCAACAGATATACACCTAAAAAAAATTTAGATTTTTTGAGGGTCTGGTTCAAAAGTTATGCGCCACTGAAATTTTGTATGTAGAAATTTCGTGAATTTCGTGACTTCAGAAAAATATTTCTAAAGTTGCAGATGGAACTCGGCTATTTCTTTTCTTGGTTATGTAGGACTGGGGTTTATCTATCATCTACACGAATTTGAGCTACCGTACCCACTCGGAAGGGCACCTTTTAGGGCCCCCAAAACGGTTGGTTCGTGCTATTTTGCAAACCTTACTTCCTTTCTATAAAATTGAATTGTGCCGCCAAAATTCTCGCCACATTTTTGTTTGATACTATCTGGTTGGCGCATTCAAATAGTATATTTACGAATTTATTCAGCCATACGCTATCTCGAAAGAAATTCATGAAAAGCCCAAATATACCCGAATTCGAGGCTATGTAAAAAAATGCTCGATGCGCTAGTAGCCGTGAAATTTTTAGCATAGACCAAGCTTGGGTATTCAATTAAAAACCATGCAAAGAAAAAACTTTTCTATGGCAAACGATTTTAGAAGAGCGCCTCAAAGTCGATTTTTCAAAAACGTTATTTTCGGGTTTTAAATCAAAATCAACCATTAACTTTAGTCAGATCATTCCAGAACTTGGCTCTCATACACAGTTCGATGCGTGCTTTAATTGTATCCAACAAACCCCGGTGCCTTTTTCGTTTTCAAAAATTCGATTTTCGAGCCAGGGCGTCAGGTCCAAAATCGGGGCCTGAGCGTGGTTTTCCTCTTTCCCTGATAACTTTGTCATTTGCCACAGGAATCAAGTAATTTTTTGTATGTGCTCTTACAATCGCCCAGTGAACAGTCTAAAGTCGAAAAATTGGCACTTTATGGAATTTTGTCTTGGCATGCTAAAACGCGCTCCTGGCGGGTTACTGTAGAAAACAGAAAATCGTCGTTTTCTCGTTCTTTTCACCATAGAAACGTTTCGATCGTTCAGGAAAACGAATAATAGTAGTTTTTAGTCCGATGAATCAAAATATTTAAAAAGTTCCGTGGCTAAATTCGAAAATAGGTTTTTTGCATATTTCGGGAAGGTGTATGGCTAGAACTTCGCGATATTTAGCCCATAGGTGACCCTTACTGGTGTTTACCAATGATAAAATTTTAAGCGAAATCGCAGCTTACAATAAAAAAGAAAAACGCGGAAAACGAAAACTACAGTATCCCTCTGGGGCACGTTTTAGCAAGCAATATTAAAATACCATAGAATCAGGTAAAATTTGGTGTTGTGCTAAAGAGCATCATTCGGAGATACCATCTGCAAAAGATCAGCCATGGCCAGCGTATTTGAAGCGAGTTGCGATTTAAAAAGTAAAAATAAGCAAAATAGGGAAATTTGTTTTGCTTGTAAAACAAAAACCTGAGCTTGAAAAATTCCAAGATTTGGCCATTACCTTTTTACAAATGCCAACGATTTTTGGGCCAAAAATCAGAATTTTCCCACCACCCGTTCAAGAACGCACAATTTTCGGTCGTAACCACCGTCAATAGTACAGTTGCGTACTCAAAAACCGAAAAAATCAAGTTGAGTTATTTCCCTATTCCTGACATATTTAAGCATTCTGGCATGGTAACGCACGGTGAAATATCTTTCCTTCTCGAGATAATTGGGGACAAACTTGGGCACTTTTTTTTGATACACCCTGTCCTGTATAGGCCGACCTTTTCCCCTGCCTAAATCTTCCCCCCTCCGTCTATTTGAATTGTACCCAGTTTCTGATGAGATACCTGGGAGTCGAGGATTGGGCAATCAACCGATATTTTGTTTAATTCATCGATAAGCGTCTTTAGCATCATTTCGTTGTCTGATTTCCAATTGACTGATGACTTCTGGAATTGCCGGGCTTGGAAAGAAGAGAGTGATTGAGAGAGATAGAGAGAGAGAGGGAGAGGGGGAGAAAGAGAGATACCCACTGGGATATTGAAGTCTTCAGCTACTTGAATTGCTAGTTGAGTGTCGAGAATGATAAGACGTCGACCATCTCCGGACTCTCTTTTTCTCTAAATCGATCAATCTATTTTTCAGCAATGATACCGAATTGAGGATATGGAGGACGAGTTTGTGGATGATTGGAAGAGAGAGAAGACATTCATTCTCTGAGAAATAGATGAAGCTGAAGCGGAAGAGTTGACAGTCGAGTAGCTGAAAGGGGCTACGAAATGCCAAAAATTGAGTGACGGCCCGAAAATCGGAGCTCTTTACGTCGGAGGCTTCTGTACGCCCAGCGGCCGGGAAGCTCGCAAAATTTGTAATTGCCTGTCGTCACCTCGAAATCACGTTTTCGGCTTTTTCTGGGCCAAATCTAATGATTAAAACACCAAAACTATTTAAAATTGAGTGAGGATTTCAAAAATGGGCTCAGAATGCGCGAAGTATATTGTTTTCACAAAGAAACTGGGCAAGAACAACTTCGCGCAAAAATCGAAAGAAAGCGGGCTCTTGTCCCGCAGCGCCCACTGGCAATTTGCCAGAAATCAAAGAGGCCTCCCAAAAGGGCTTTGATTTGGCAGTTCGGAGCCCCTTTAAAAGGGTCGGTGGGAGCCGGTTGTCGAATACCTGGTCGAATGCTGCCGCGTAGAAGTCAAAGTATTCGTTAGCTGATTGATCGAGAACTGAGAGGAATACCTCCAAAAATAGAGTGAATTATCTAATTTAATTAAATAATACCTGATACGGCCTAGTTCCATCCAGTAGCCAATCGTTCATCTTCAACGAGCTACAAGTCTTCTTGTATTTTTCTTTACTTTCTATCTATCTCTCTCGCTCTCACTCTTTCTCTCTCTCTCTCTCTCTCTCTCTCTCTCTCTCTTGTCACCTGCTAGTTAACTTTGTCCCCATGGGAAAGCCTGGATAGACGAAAAGATTATCTCTGTGGAAGCAGCTCAACTTTCCCAGTCCGCAATGCGTTCGAATCTGAAAAAAAGACCGCTGAGTGAGAAAGGATGCTGGTAAAATTTGTCTTTAAGGCAGCCGGTGGAAATATGCTGTTACCGGCAATGGTCGTCCTTGTTCATCCATTGGAAAATCGACGCGTATTCGACGGCTTTTTAAATTAGCTGTCAATTTGTCGACAATTCGTAGATGGGCCACATCATACGGTACTCTACTGAAATATCCAAGTAGTAAAAAAGGTAGTCCCCGATATAGCGAACGCACACCGTCGGAAGGTCTATCTGTCTGTTTCCATTTCGACTCTACATACCCGTCAGGCATTAATCGCAGCTGATCTCGACGGTAGCCATAGCGAGCAGAGTTACCATCGCTAAACCATTGGTCTTATACAAAGCAAATAGTACCAATTACCTCATTTCAAAATGAATATAGGGAAATATAGTATTGTCGGGTGAAAGGCTGATGATAATCCAGAAATCATCCATGTTGAAGTCATCCAAGGAGCCGCGGATTCGAACGCTTAGGCCATCTTGATGATAATATCGATGTGGGTTGAATGATGACTAGAATGGAATTGCTCGAATACAAAATTAACCGATTTGTCTTTCTGTCTGACTGCCCGTCGCTCTCTCTCTCTGTCTATTTCACTTACCTCATGCAGTTCCCGCAACATTTCCGGTGTCCGCGTAGTGACGTCAATGGTGATGTTGTTGTAGAAGCCGTTGAGGTAGAAATGAAGAGCTGGTTGAGTGGAGAAGTGCTATAGCGATAGATATAGAACTAGAGAAACGAATTTTCGAAAAGAATTACGCCTAAACCCGTCGCCAAATGGCTAGCGAACTTGCCTGTCATCTGGGGGCCCGGGTTCGACTCCCACCCGCGGATTTTTTGCTTTTGTGCCCGAACTTTCAGAATCGGCTAACTTCTGAATCTTCTGAACCTGAACTTCTGAATTTTCGGGCCCCGACCGATTTCGGGGGGCGACATTACGCTACGCACTGGTTATGAGGGACTCGGGTTCGACTCCCTGCCTCGGCAGACTCTTCCTTTTTTCCGCGACAGGCCAGAATCGGCTAGCTACTAGCCAGGAAGAGAAACATACCTTGGAAGTGGCGCGTAGCTCGACCTTCTCATGAAATCGGACATGTTCATTGACAAGCTGCTGTTGTGCTCGAGTCAATTTTCGATAAGGAAACTTTCTCGCATATCGCCAAACTCCTTGATATTCAGGTCGGCGCCTAAATATGACGTTTTTGAATTTTCGTTGAGGGAATGGCTTTGTTGTCTCGCAGCCAAATTTTTGGAAATCACCTGAAAGACATAGCATCATAGCAGCGAATAGGCTCGCTCATCACTTTCGATTGTCCTGGGAGCGGTTGAAATCTGAAAGTGGTCCTTGGCTTGCGAGGGAGAGGGAATGGTGCTATTGTTGTGGGTTTCATCACTAACTGACAGATCCCCGGGGGGTCAACCTTTTAGACAGATGTCTCCCGCGTCTTCTGTCTTTACCCTCCACTACAAACTTCAACAAAACGACGCGTCATCCACTCTCGTAGCCGTCGTCTAGCCGGGCAAATTTTGTTGAAATCCTTGATCCGGGCCCTATTGTGTCACCAACGTGACGTATTTTCGCGAATTTCCTAGTATTGGGTTGGAACGTAAATCTCTGCGCATTTTTCAAAAACTCGCTGCTTGTCTTAATCGTGGACTTTGGACCAAGTGTTATATATCATTCGAAAGAGCTTTCTTTTCTCTATCAGACACCGGCATTAGTTTATTTTGTACGTCCACGCTTTCCTTTGAGCTCGATTTTGAGCACGATCGCTAATTATTTTTACAGTTGACCTATTGGGCATTGAAAGAGTTTTTATTCATCTATCTTTCACGTAATTAGTTTATTTTTTTTAAATAGCTTTTCACTAATTTTTAACGGATCGAAAAATTGACCAAAATGCGCCCTTCCTTCACTTGCTAATTTCTGCGTTAGAAACAATTATTTAGCACATCCCAAGCTCGTGCTCGACTTTTCTGCCTATTTAGAAGAAACCACAACGTTCAAAATCACACAGAGCTAGCTTGAAATTTTCATGGAAAAACATCAACCAAGGAGAACCGCTGTCTGATGCCATAATTTGATCCCGGGTTTAGCGTAGACGAATCCATAAACCTGTAAATCTTTGGCAGCCAGCTGTAGTCCTACTCGGTTAGTACATAATAGATCAAATTGAATTTTATAATTATGATACGGAAAAATTTTGCATGGTGCGGTCGTCGAGCCTTCGAGGGTCATTTTTGTCGATACTTCGTTCCCCGAAATCCATTCGAAAATAATGCTATAAAATAGGCGGCTATTGGAGCCTTGTAGAGCACAAAATTTTCTTTCGAATGGTATATAGGACACAGCAAAAAAGTTCGGATTTCCGCGAGAAAATTGAGCTCGAAAATACGCAGAGACTTACGTTCCAACCCAATAGGAATAGCTTGCGAATGGCGAGAAACGGTTGGCCAATGACCAATTCGGGCCGGCAAACGGCCATTTCCGCGCATTTTCGTAGATTTTTCGGCCTTCCGGCGGTCCGGCCTATTTTGGCAAAGTAAAAACGGCCTTCCCAGCTCCAATTTTTACTTAGGGGCGTTTTTTCCAGCTTTCCTTTGTCCCTAGCGTTTTTCTCCCTGCGATTTAGGCAATTTCTGGCCCGCGCTAGCCTTTTTTATATAGATTTAGCAGTTGAAATTCTCCGAGTGTTTGCCATATCTCCTAACTACATACCTCCTAATTCCATATCTCCTAAAAGTCATTTCTTATAACAGTGATTTCTCCTGAAAACCTTACTTCATGAGTTCAGTAGATAAAAGCAAAAAAATTTGTTATTTTTTCGGAACATATACAAAACCGCCAGCTGGCTTCGAAACCTTATTGAACATTCTAAGATGGTCGGGTAACAGCGAAAAACATCGGATAACACGCTAGCTAGCTGTAAATTAAGCAAAAGGTTTGTCCCTGTGGAGAGCGAAAATATATAGTATATGTATAGTAGTATATAGAAAATATATAGTATATATATACAGGGTGTCCCAAAAAAAAGCACCCCTCCGGCATTTCGCCGTATTACATCCCAACAGTCCCACAATTGGACTGGAGGTGTATCAGACCCTAAATAACCACAATCCTGAGTTATAGCCCGATCGCTACAGTAATTTTCGAGTTATCGTCAAAATACTGTTTTTTACGCGGTTCTTAACAGTTTTTTCGGCTATCTTTTTGGACTTTGCATCGATTTGCATCGACTTCCGGCTGCGAATCCCTAATTTCGCTTAATATGGGGGGTGACTTTGCGTTACAAAAATTGTTGAAATCAAGGGTTATTGCACTAATTTTTATCAGAAAAAATTTCTAGGGGTAAAGAAGGCTTGCCGCTTCATTTTCACTTTATATTCGAAGGGTCGATTTCGACGAAAACCATATGAAAAACGGATAATAAAGTTTATTTTTGTTCTATCTCGAAGATTACTGTAGCTGGCGGGCTATAACTCAGGATTGTGGTTATTTAGGGTCTGATACACCTCTGGTCCAAATTTCGGACCGATCGGATGTAATACGGCGAAATGCCGGAGGGGTGCTTTTTTATGGGACACCCTGTATATATGTAGAAAATATATGTATCAGATTTCAGCAAAAAAAGGGAATTAAGGTTTTTAGGAGAAATGACTGTGGTAAGAAATTAGGAAATATTTATTTAGGACATATGACCGGAAATCAAATTCTCCCCGTCTTTTTGGGCAGTTTGAAAGTGCTAATCCGAAATTTTTGACAAAAAGCGTGGTTTTCACGGGCAATTTTTTTTGGAATAGCGATTTTCGCACGTGTTTTTATAGGGTTCTAGAGTTTTTAAAGGCAAAACCAGTTTTGCGAAGCATTACTCGTTTTTTTAGTGCCGCTATTTTGACCTTTTTTAGGCAATTTAGATGTTAAACTCAAAATTTTGACATTAGAAAACGTAGTTTCACGGGAAACGTTTTTGGAACTTCGATTTTCACGCGTTGTTTTATAAGTTTTAGGCTTTCATGGGGTTTTAGGCAGTTCTGTTCATTTTTGCACGTGTTCAACCGCCAAATTCTCTGCGACGGGCCCTATTGTCGAATCGACGGCCGCGGTGTCGTTCAGCGCCGATCATCGCTAAGGTACGTTTTGCTATGGTTTCCCTTGCAGAAAATTTCCCCGGGGCGTTCTAATGGTAGAAAAATATCACGATCCGGGATTAGAGCATCGAAATTAAGCGCGTTTTTTAGGCCATTTCCCTGATTTATGTTATCTAGGTGCAAAATGGGAGGGAGACACACAGGCGGAGGACGATAATTGCTATAATTCCCTATTTTTCATTCTTATTTTTAGCCGCCCGTCCCCGAAACACGGCGGGACTGTGCGCCAAATTCACGGCAAGCTCTGCCACAATTTGACGAATATCGGAAAGCTGGTAAGCATTTTGCAGTTTTGCTTTTTTTTAGCAGCTAATTCCACGAAAAACGCGTTTTTCGAGCTTTTTGGCTACCAAAATTTGCTTTTTAAAGGTTCTTTGACGGGTTTTTGCAGTATCTAAGCAATTTCCACGAAAAACGGCTATGCTCTACATTTTCGTAATATGAAACAGTGATGAGAACCCGCTCCGAAATTGGTTTAGGAAAAATTAGTTATTATATTATTATTATTATATCTCGAAAGATAGCCGCATGACCAACATCAAGTTTTACAGATTTGGATTGATGTTTTAGGGGCGCATCAAATGAGGTATAGAAGGGTGCTGGGATTTAAGGAAAACTAGAAAATAATGTACTTGAAAGGGAGCAATGTCTAGCAATGCGGGGTATTCGCAGAGCAGAGACTCGCATGTAATGGTGTAGTTTAGTGTTGTAGTCTGTAGTGTGGGCTCTCAAAAACTGCCGCCGCGGCCGAGATGCATGCTTTGATGACTACAAATTCTTTATTTTCATCCAAACCAGGTTTGAAAAACCGCTTCGCGGCTTTTCAACCCTGGCCCCGTCTAGGATCGATGAAGTATTGACTTTGCATAATTCTTGCCGAAAACCGCTCACCAAAAATGAAAAGCGCGCCCTCTCTTCCTTTTTATAAGCCATTTCCACTTCCGGCGTATGTTAATTGCTTCCTAACAAAGAGGTTGGCCGAAAACTTTACAAAAACCTAATTTTAATATCGAAAATAGCAATTTTTCAAAACGTTTATGTGTGTGCAGTCGATTCCGCCCCCTTCTTTACCCTATGACGTTTTTTCCCTACCGAAAAAATGCTTCCCTGAGGCTGTAGGTGCGGAACATCCAAACGGAAGTGCATGCAAATATACACACACACACAAACACTATTTTTTATATATAGTAGGAAGTAGGATTGTAGCAAGTGACAGAAGAACAAATTAAAGTTTATTCTGTGGGACGGACACTCCACCCCCTGATCAGAACAGCCTTCTCATGGGTGAAATTGTCGAATGAATATTTGCCATTAATACGACCCAATCCAGAATTGCCGACACCTCCAAATGGAACCGATGGCGCTACAAATTTTTGTTTTTATTTTTAATAGATTTTTATAACCTACAAAAAGCATGAGAATGAACATCATTGACACACACTCCGCCCGACCAAGTTTCCGTGATAAATCTAGATTTATTAGCGTTTTTTATGTGATTATTATTAGGGTATAAATACCGTCTGACAGCCTCGGGATCTTTGGAGAAAATATAAGCAGCCAATGGCTTCTCCCTTTCCTTCACAAAATCTAGAGCTTTCTCCAGATTATCCACTGTCAGAATTGGAAGGATTGGGCCAAAGATCTAAATATATTTGAATTCAATTTAATAACTATTCAAAATACCTCATCCTTCATCAATTCATCATTTTCTTCAATTTCATAAATGCTAGGTGGTAGATATCTTTCTGATCGATTCTCTTCTCCTCCTGCTTTCCATGCCAATTTACCATTTGTTTTCTCGGTCAACGCTTTTAGACGGCTGAAAATGATCGATAACACAGAAAGGGTGGGTTATATCAATTAGCTGTCTGACCGATTACGCGATGGAAAATGTTTTTCAGCGACTCGTTTTTAAAATTCAGGTACCCTAAAACAGGAACCCACCGTCCAACCGGTTACGCGATCATTTTGGGCGCGCGATCGCGTAATCGATGATCAGTTCTTTCCCCTTATCGGGGGTGGAAACCAATTTTTTCCTTTGGATTTAATTTTTCAAATATAAATAGTGGAAGTGTTTCTAAATGGCCAATTCCTAAACGTCAAACTTTACAAATTTTTATCAAAACTATCCAAAATATCGTTTTTCGGCCAAAACGGCCGATTTTTGAGCAAAATTTCGACTTTTTTCAAAAGTTTTTAGATAGTTTTTATTGTTGTTTTTTAAATTCTATAACTTCAATTCGGGTACCCACTCGAAATGGCGTTCCGAGATGATACGGGCAAAAGCCTTGTTCTCCTTGAGTTCTCCCTCCTTCTCAAAGACCTGCTGGATGGCAGAGAATCAGTTTGGGCTTTGTGATAGAAGTGGTGAGCACCTGAATTAAGAATTACTAATTACCTTAAAAAGCGAAACTGACATAATCGGGGTTGATACAAATCTGTCCACAGTTCATCATTTTGGCCTTGGCGATCTTTTCAGCGGCTAGGGCCACGTCAGCATCATCCAGAACCACGGTTGGGCTATAAAAAAATTGCATTAAATCTCACTAAATTTTTAAAAAAATCAGTTTTGATGAGTATCGGCCCAAAAAACGTACTTTTTGCCACCCAACTCAAGGGTGACAGGGGTCAGATTCTTGGCCGCGGCCGCCATCACAATCTTAATAAAGTTATATATCGCTTTAATGGTAGACAGTTAATAGAAATATAGATTAATGATACCTTTGCGACGGCCGGATTTCCGGTATAAACGATATGATCGAAGCGTTCGCTCAAAAGGGCCGTCGTCTCTTCTACGGCCCCATTTACCACCGCAAAAACCTTCTGAAAAAAAATTAATTAGGATGTAACGTTTATCGATTTTTATAAAATATAAATCGTGGAAGTGTTTCTAAACGGGAAAAACATTACATAATTTTTAGTACAAAATATCAGAAATACCGATTTAGAACCGAAATTTCGAATTTTTTAAAAGTTTTTAGGTAGTTTTTCTAGTTGAAATATAGTCATACATTACTAAAAACCCTATTAAAACACGTTCTATTAACTTATTAGGCATTACTACCCTCCTACAAAAAATTTCGGTTTCGGCTTACCTCATCAAAATGTTTGTTGATAATCTTCTCAAATGCTTGAGCGGTGTGTTGCGCCAACTCCGATGGCTTCAGAATTACCGTATTTCCCGCGGCAAGGGCCTAAAATTGAGTTTTACGATTTATTGTCGGTCAGTTCGAAAGTACATTCCTTTTGACCTACCTGAACGAGCGGCGCCGAGGTGAAAAGCGGATAATTCCATGGGGAAATGACCAGCACAACTCCAACAGGTTCACGAACAATGAACAGCTCGTCGTTGCCGTCGGACGACAGCTGAAAATACGCAACTTTTTGATAGCAGATAATTTGTAAAGCATCACAAAATATTTTAAGGGCCAAAATCGCAAAAAAAACACCCCGAGAGAACGGAATCAGCTCTTTTCGCGCAGGCTAAATACCTGTCGCAACCGATTTTTTGTGAATTTTAGTCCAATTTCGGATTTTAAAACTGAAGATCGGATTAAATAGCTAAAAATACCGAAAATAAAGTCACATTTTTTCCAAATAGTTTTATTAGGAAAACTAGGCAAACGGGCTATAGGGAGTGCCAAGAAAGACGCGTTGCGGCGCGCGTCGCGGCTTTTTTGGTGCCGTGCCAATCGTTGACCACCCGTGTGCCTTCTCAGCCCCTTTAAAATACCTTAGTAGGCGCACTCCACTCTTCCAGCTTCTCCAGCGTCTCATTTATTTGATGGGTGACACCGAATGTCTCGAAATGGCCGTCCTCAAAAAAAGAAATCACTTATTTTCATCGATTTTTTTCAATTTTTCGTTGTTAATTTCACCAATCGTTGATTGTCAGCTTTTTTTGAATATTTGACAAAAATTCATTCCAAAAATCGATAAAATCTGAAATTTTATTGAATTTGAATACCCTGTGTAAATCCTTGAAAATAGCCGCTGCGATCTCTTCCCCATCCTCTTCCAGCATTTTCTTCAATTTGTTGAGCGTCTCCTGGAAGGAAATGTGCCTATAAAATGTGAGAATTTGTACCAAAATGCCTACAAAAGCCCTGAGAACAGCCTAAAAAGCTCAAATGGCTTAAACATCAGCTTAAAAAGCTTTAAAAGCTTTCAAAACAGCTTAAAAAGATCCAAAATTGCGGTACCTTTCTGTTCTCCAACGGTCTCGTCGCGCCCGACTTGAAATAAGCGCGCTGCTTTTCCACCAACTAAAATAGAAAATGAATAGGCTATAGGAAATTATGAACTTACGGCGTGATAGCACGGCATTTTGTATCGATCGATCGATTAGACGTTAATTACCCTATAAAAATTGATTGAAAAACGTTTCAAAGAGTAAATTGTTTGGCGTATCAGAGAATTCGGGCGAAAAATTGGCTACAAATGGCTTTCTGGCGGACAATTTGTTTAGAAAAACGTTAAATAACTTTACAACCGATAAATAAGATTTTTTTTGAAGAGTGGAATTCCAGCCAAATAAGAGAAATGGCACCGAAAATAAGAATCTCACCCCGAAAATTCGATTATCAAAACGTTAATACCCAAAAAAATTGAGTCGATCTGGATTTCAGATTTGAAATGCTAGTTCTGACAGAAAGACTGATTCTGACAAAAAATTGACTACAAAGGTGTTTTCTGACGGACAACAAGACTATACCACGACTCAAGGGATCTGTCGTCTTTATATGACCCTCTACAGGGGGGCTATCACTCCCCAATTTGATAAGAGAAATACCACCCAATCCCCCTCGAAAACAACTGAAAGACCCGAGAATTTGTGGAAAATGCGCATTGCTTGAAGAACAAATAAAAACAGGGCAACAAAAAACTTTTCGGGGCGAGGCTTAAGTCTATTTATTTAGCGAAGAGGGAGGGGAGGATACCTCAAAACGTACCTCATTTGAGGGCCATGAAAACCGGTATTTTTGAGGGTTATAACGTCTTGTTTTTATTAACTGACAGCCAGACAACAGCAAGATAATAAAAAAGCCGTGAATAATGGTACAGCAACGCAGGAAAACTAGGAAAGCCAGCGGGAACGGACCCGGGTCCTAACCAGGGGTCACCCACCACCCCCTGATTGAGGGTCATAAAAACAGGTCTTTTCAGGGGGTTACATACATAGTTTTATTTTATCAATTGCTTGTCATTTGATATGAATTGTCAACCAGCTAACAGTAAATAATACAAAACAGGCGAAAAACGTTATTGAAGGGCTATAAATCTCGGTAAAAAAGAGCGGGAGAGGCACCTGAATTTCATTTCAGAAAGCATGCCATTTCAATGTTCCTATGGACCAGTTTTTGCCAATTTTCGACCAACTTACATGAATTGTCATGCAAATCGACGAAAAAATAGTGCAAAAGAAGCGAAAAGACGCCATTGAAAAACTATGCAGAGTTCTGGGAAAGCGACCGGCGCGGGCTTTTGAAGCCATGAAAATCGGCCGCTTTTAGGGTGTTATAGTTTTATATTTATGAATTGCTTGTTAACTAATGTAAATTGTCACCAAGCTAACACAAAATAGCAAAAAAAAATTAAAAGTACGCCATTGAACGGCTAGAGAATCAGACAAGCGATTGGGCAGCGTAGCCATGAAAACAGGGATTTTCCAGGGTTATATAGCCTCGTTTTTATCGCAGACCCGTCAACTAATACGAATTGTCATCCATCCAACACGAAATATTACAAAAAAGCAAGTTACCCTCTTTTTTGAAGACTATCTGATTTGTGCCTGGGCCTCGAGTTTGTGCCCCAAAAATTCGAGTCATTGGGCGAGTGTAAAAAGGTATTTTCACCCCCAAAAAATCGTCTCCTTGCAAACGCGTGTGTTCGTCCTAAATTGGAGAAAGATTTCGAGAGTCAGATAACAGCCAACGAGACAGTTTGGACATTGAAACGAGAAGAATTCGAGAAAATCCTTGCATGGGTGTTTTTGGAAAGCGTAAAAATTTGTAAAAAATTGGGATAGCTTTTCTTAAATATTGTGATTAGAAGCTTACATAACAGTTTGAAAATCTGGCCATATAAAAACTTTTAAACTGGCTGGAAAATGTTATTTTAAAGTCTTTTCCAGGCTGTATGACCTAAAAAAGCAAACTTTTCACGCCCTGAAGGTGTTTGTTAAGTCAGTTTTGGTTCTATTAATGTTTTAAATGTTTTTTTTGCGCCTGCTGACTAGCATAGAAAATTATAAAAAACCCGGATTTGTGATGTAGCGGAAACTGGAAAAAGATCTGAAGCCACTCCATCACGTCTTCTGACTGATAAGGAGCCATTGTTACGTGGTGTCTGCCTCTCCTGTCTCTCTTCTGTCTCCTAAAATTCACTAAATGATTTTGTACCCTTTATTCATAATTTTAATCGGTTATTTGCAATCCATATTGGCAATTACCTGTCCAAATGGATCCGAATGGAAAGATGATCTGGGTTATTGTCTGCTTCCGATCAATACTCGTATGGATTTTGCGCAATTTCGCTTGTTATTCTTATTTTTTTGGTAAAAATTTATATATTCCAGGTTTAGAAACGCAGGAAATCTTGTTCAATAATCAGAAAAAATAGTGGCGAACCTGAATTAAACAATTTTCAGAAGTGAACTATTCGGCTGCGACAAAAGCCTGTGGAAAGGTTGGAGGGCATCTCATCTCGATTCATAATCTATTCGAGAATATTCTCTTCTCTGCCTATGTTGATGAATGTCAGTTTACCATCAAATTTCATAAAAATCATTAAAACCAAAAAAAATTACGAGTTTTAGAGCAAAATTTCAAAAATTTTAAGCGCTTTTCTAAGTTTGCTAAACAGTTTTCTACTTGAAATCTCGCTAAATCTTGCCAGATTCTCAATAAAAATACGTTAGGACATTATTAGACATAAGGACCACCCACCCTCCCCCGGTATTGAAAAAGTACCTAAAATGAGTATATTTTTGCTTCAGATTTTCCAAAGACAAAAACTTCTTGGCTAGGGATGCATGCTGACCAATTTCAGGTATCTTTTTCCAAAAAATCGAATTATAGTGTAATTTTGAAATATTTGAATTTCAGGTACCCTTTGGCATCCAACTAGATAAACGGACGCATTTTGCAGGTATGGGCATGGGATGACGCTTCAAAATGGGACTATGAACATTGGGCAAAACAAGAACCATTTGACGGCAATTACTGTGCACAACTCCATTTAAAAGGTATTTATAACTATTAGGGCCTTTTTCATAATTTTAAATTGTTAAAAAAGTATGTTTCCATCCAGTTAAACGACACCTAAAACGCCATAGCAATAATGATAGCTTTTAAAGTTATTTTAAGACTCTGAGAGCTTTGCGGGCTGCCAGCCAACCAATATTTAACTAGTCATATAATTTTCAAAGTTTTTTTGACTAATTTTTGGAGCTCTAAAATAATCGTGGCCAGCCAATTAAGCCATTTTAGATCAACTCTGGCATTCGGCCGATTGTGACGAGGATAAAGCGGCGTTTCTGTGTGGAATCCAACCTCAAACTACAGATTCGACAACACCGGCAATTACTAGTAAAACTGCTAAAAATTTGCTTGAAATTTAAGCTGGCTTTTAGCCAAATGGCCTGGAAAATGCCCGACGGAATGGTCGTATTTTGACAAAACGAATGCGTGTTATTACGTAAGTTCCTATTGACAGTAGTTACGCGCGTACGAATTATACGTGCGTAAATTCGTACTGACAGTCGATAGATACATCCGTACTAACGATACGTGCGTAAATTTCACGTATTGCTTACTAGGGAAGTCCAAGATACCCGCAACACGAATCGGGCTGAAAATTGGCACAGTTATGGAACCGACCATGCTGATCATCGCCTCATTTTCCGAATTTGCTACAGAGCTTAAATAATTAAGATATTAAACTTTTAAAATGCGCCAAAAACCCGCCACCCTGACCCTGGCTCACTAGAGCGGGTGGGGTTCGAGAGGCCTTTGGGAAGCCTCCTTTCCAGAGCTTCGGTAGTCAACTGGTAAGCGCCTCGCTTCCCAGGTGGAGGGTCCGGGTTCGGACCCGGTCCGGGCATCTTTCTTTTGCTTTTTGCTAATTTTGCGCCGCACATGTGGCGCGTGTCCAGATTGCGTTTTTTGCTACACGCAGGTGAGCCGGTTGCTGCCGTCGACTTACGGAATACCGGTTTTTAACAATTTACTAGTGTTTTCTATGAACTTTTTTCATAAATTTATGATTTCGTTGAATTTCATTTCTAGGATGTACGTAAATGCGTGTGCATAACACAATCTGGACACGCGCCATATGTGCGGCTCAAAATTAGCAAAAAGGAAAAGAAAAATTCGCGGACCGGGTCCGAACCCGGACCCTCCACCTGGGAAGCGAGGCGCTTACCAGTTGACTACCGAAGCTCTGGAAAGGAGGCTTCCCAAAGGCCTCTCGAACCCCACCCGTTCTAGTGAGCCAGGGTCAGGGTGGCGGGTTTTTGGCGCATTTTAAAAGTTTAATATCTTAATTATTTAAGCTCTGTAGCAAATTCGGAAAATGAGGCGATGATCAGCATGGTCGGTTCCATAACTGTGCCAATTTTCAGCCCGATTCGTGTTGCGGGTATCTTGGACTTCCCTAGTTAGATTGGCGCAAATATGTCGTGGACTGATGGAGAGACCTACTGCCGCTCACAACACTCCCACCTCGTTTCTGTACATAGTTTCGAGGAGAATCAGTTTATTTTGGGTATTTTTTAACATTGAATGAAGAACATTTGTTTATTCAGACCTAAAATACACGACAGATTGTGATGTGGTGGCGAATGATTGGATCAGCATCACGCTTCTTGGCTCTTATCGGTAATTTAGCTTTTTACCAGGGTTGAAAAGCCGCTTCGCGACTTTTCAACCCTGGCCCCGACTGGACCGTGTGAAAGTTTACACTTTGCATAATTCCACCCGTATCCCATGAACGAAAAAAATGAGAAGCACGGCTCTCTCCCCCTTTTAATAGGCTAGCTTCACTTCCGGCGTATGCTAATTACTTCCTAACAAAGAGGCTGAGCGAAATTTTCACAAAAACCTAATTTTAATATCGAAAACAGTTGATTTTCAAAACCTTGATATGTGTCCAGTCGTGTCATGACCATTACGCACCTAATGACGTATCATACATACCTCTAACTTCTTCCTTTATTGAGATACGACTGGAACATACGGACGGAAGTTGCATGCAAATGCACACACACACAAAGACACTATTTTTTTATATATAGTAGGATTGTAGTTTGTAGCCTACAAAATTTGGAATTTACCGTAAAATCGATAAACGGCGTCCATTTCAGCTCACTAAAAGGTTTTTTTTGTACTTTGTGGCCTAGTCAACCCATCCCTAAACATAAAAATCGTTTAACTTCCTTCCATTCCAGTGATTACCATGATCAAACATGGCTATGGAGCGACGGGACTCCGTTTGACTACGCCCCCGATCTGTGCAATGACGAATTTGGAAGGCATTTTATGGTATGGAATATTTTATTAGACGTTTAACATCAAAACACATATAAAACAAATTATTGAAAATGGGGTACCTAGGTACCTGAATCCTCGTTTTGTTCAATTTAATTTTAACTCAATTTAAAGTAGCTTAAAAGGTTAACTGTGATTGAGATATCCTGGAAAATCAGGACCCCTTTATTTTACTTGATTTCATGGCGTCATCGAATTTTTGATTCAGATCGATAATACGAAATGTTCGATGTGTCAGAATGGAACGTGGTTCTCCGTTCTCAGCGACTACGATAATAGTATATACCCATTTTTTGCTTGTAAATTCGTGTTATAAACATTAGTTGGCTGTCAGTATAAATTAATCGTATAAAAATTCTCTCATTGGCCGAGTTTTTTGATGGGATACGGTGGACTGGATGGCAGTTTTCCATTTCGAATAGTCGGATAGTACGCTACTTGACTGCATACGATAATTCCAAATGACAACATTTTTCAGGTAACGATTTTGTAGGGTACAATGCAGGTCATATTACAGTATTTCACAGATTACGGTACTCTAGAAATTTTCAAAAAACCTTCCAATTCACTAAATGGCCGACTTTTCAAATTTTCCGGGGTTACGGTAGCGTACAAATGACGGAATTTTGTTATTATTTCTGAAATAAATGCGCAAAAATCCTCTTTGGTGAGTTTCCCAAGTTGTCGCAAGTTTTTTGAACGTCGGCGCGCGCTGTGTTTTTACACGAAAAGAGAGGCGACGCGGCAATTAATCAGGATGTTGGAGGAACGGGGTGACGGGAGACACACGAATTGAATCTACTCCACTTGCCAGCTAGCTCTTCGTTTTCGGTAGATTTCGGATAAGTGGATGGCAGAAAGGAAGAGAAACGACGTTAGCTACCTTAAAGAAATTTGAATTTTGATTGCAGCCCGAATTTTTCATCAAGTTTGATAGGAGTGGATGGCAGAAAAAAAGAGCCAAACAACCCAGACATCTCCTAAAATTAAAATTTTGCATACAGTTCGAATTTTCCAGTCGCTAGCTATGGGTTAGTTGACCTTATTGGCGTATAGGTAGAGCATCTGGCTGATCAGAGCCATGTGTCCAGATAGACATCTCTCCCCATCGGCAATTCGGTTTTGCGGCAACAGGTGCACACTGCATCGTCTACAACCGCATTACCATCTGAATTAAATATAACTAATTGTCTAGGTAATTTACTAGAAAGTAAATTTCATGAATAAAATCCCGGAAAAGCTAAAAAACTTTTTGAAGTGTTTGAGTATATTTCAAGAAAGCGGGCGGATCTACCGTATCATTAATGCGCCTACTCGACGCAGTACTGCTATGGAAACCGCCTAGGCTTGGCGAGCTTCGTCCTGGGTGCCAAGTTTCACATTCCAGTAGTTGGAAGCTAAAAACTGGCTTTTCAGTGAGGGTACCTGAATTTTCCGGTGGCTTATTTTGTGTACGTGAATTAGGATACCTGATTTTATTGAGAAGCCATTAATGCATATAGGAAATTCCTGACTAACCGAAGCCTTTTCCCAGCTTCTTACTGAGTGCCAGGCTTCAGATTCCAGTGATTATCGAATTAAGATTTGTTTTTAAGAGGGGGTTTCAGGGTTGATTGGGAGTTGGTTTGGTATTGATTTTTCAGATACCTGAATTTTACAATCCCTCGAAAAAATTAGATCCGTCTAAAATCCGGCAATCTGGGTGCCATTTGAACCGAAGCGGCCGTCCCCTTTAGACCGTCCTTCACTACCGCATACTTACAGACAGGTGTGGAGAGGGAAGGGCTTGGATGATCGGTATCTCGACTATTCCCTCACTTCACACCTCTCTAAATGTCACTCCGTCTCTCAAATCCCTCTGATCCCTCCTCTCATTCCTTCCGTTCCCCATCTAAAGGTGAAATGTCGGCCTTCCACTGGTCTCTCTCTCTCTCTCTCTCTCTCTCTCTCTCTCTTCCTGTCCCCCCAATGTGATTCATTATGCCGCGACTCGTAAAAAGGAACGCGCGTCCCAACTTGGCCGATGGCAGGGCATACACACACGGACGGTTTGAATTTTCGACGGAACCCCTTGTTTCGAATGGATTTGGGCGGGTTGGCAAATGAGGAAGCCGATCTGATAGCGTACTGAAAATGGTACCTGAATTGAAGCAATTGAAAAGGTACCTGAATTGAGGACCCTGAAGCGGGCTTCCTGCCCTTTGCCAGGGAGCGCGAGCTGTAAAATCCCTGACTTGGCTTGACAAAATTCCAATAGTTCTCGCCCAAAAATAGCTTTTGAGAGAGGGTACCTGAAGACCTGATTACCTGATTTTTAAAGACACTGCGACAGCAAATTTTGAATATTTTTCAAAACCCTCTCCATTCTGCCGCCCACCCATCAATCTCCCCTAAAACCTGCTCCCTGATGGGGCGAACGGTTTAAAAAACAGCAACTTTTCTGGCTCATTACACCGGCGGACCCCCTAGGGGGGAATGGCGCAATATCCGAGCTGGTACAGAAAGAGACAGACAGAGAAGGGCTGTATTTTGTCAACGGTGCATCTATCTGTGTGGTGGGCCAGAGGGAGGGAGGGAGGGTACTTCTCTGCCCTCTTTCAAATCCCTCCTTTGATCATTGCCGTGAACAGGCTCCCCCTACCTCTAAATTCCACACTACCGGATGTACAAACAGACAGATAGAGAGACTGACTGACAGAGAGATAGAGAGGATAGAGAGGGGCAGGCTAGCAGAGACCATTTCCGAGTAAACGCCCCGGGGCTGAGTGACAGTGACAGTCGCCCCCATTTGGCAGCTAGAAATGGCGGATGATGGGGGAGTAGAGAGAGGTAGAGTCCACCTACCGGCCAGCCGCTATTCAAAACGCGGCTTACGGTAGCCAGACGACACTTTACCATACCGTAGGGCTATCTGGCAGGCCACGCTAATTTTCGAATGTTGTCGGGCTGTTTTTGGAGACATTTCCCCTGCCCCCCTCCCTTTGCCGTACTTGAATATCAAGCGGACATTCAAACGATGGAGATGCTCTTATGGAATGGCCACGGCAACAATCATCATCTACACTGCCCTGCTCTCCGCCAGGGGACCATGGGAAGCACCAAGTTTTGTGGGTGGGAAAGGGCGGAAACAGCAAAGGGGCAACACGGCCGGGGCGCCATTCATGGGTACCTGAAAAATCAGGTGCCCTAGCAAAGAAAGCTTTAGGCGGATGTTGGGATGAAATATCAAGGATATAGGTGACAGTTAGAAAAATAAGAATATTTAAAAAACTAGCTGCAGCTACCATCACCCGGAAAATCCAATTTCTGAAAATCAGGTACCTGAAAAATCGGCTACCCTAGCGGATTGAAGCGGTTCAAGCGTCTTTTAAACGATCTATCGATATAATAGCTACCAGTTAGCCCCCCTAGTAATATTTAACGACCACCAGCCGCTACCGTAATCTAGAAAATCCGTTTTTCTCCTTTTCCCCATATGGTTGATGTGGCAGTTAGTTGACAGCCTTGCTCCTCCCCTCTGTTGAGACATATTATTTTGTGTCAAAGTGAGCGGCCGACATGTCTCTAGATAGAGACAGGCCATCCGATTGTTTATTAGGTCGATCCTCGCCCTCTCTCTACTAGAGGGCCGGCATGTTACGTAGAGAGAGAGAGAGAGAGAGAGAGAGAGGAGGAGAGAGAGAGAGAGAGCGAGGGCCCGACCTCTCCCCTTGCGCAACAACTGTGCCCTCAGCAATACACCGATCATAGCCCTCGGACTGTATAATGCCTAATAACTGTGGTCGGGGGTCTTTGGCGGTATTCTCACTCGACAGCTGTCTCATACCGGGGAAGAGAGAGAGAGAGAGACAGCGAGATACGTCATAATCCGGGATGTGAAGGAAGGGGCTTATGGTCCACAGGTGGCCATTCTCGCCTGCAATTAGCTATTCGTTTGAAGGAATGAGCTTTCCGGAGGGCAGAAAGGAGAAATCAAGAATAGGCACCTTCAAAAATTAGAATTTAAAGCAATTTAAATTCGGGTACCCTGTGAGATACCAGAATACAGTTCCCCAAAATTCCGACAGTCGCTCGGCAATTAGCGAAAAAGTGAATGAATTGCGCTTCTGGAGGGCAGGAAGTAGCAATAAAAAGCAGGACCGTTAATAAATTCCAACTTCAAAGAATCAGGTAAGTGAATACCGTACACCAGAATCTGATTTTTCTGGAAATCCAGAAAAAATCAGGTACCCTGGCAGACAGTACCTTTTTTAACAATACTCCTGGTAGATTTAAGCCATTTTGGATGCTCAGGTACCCTGGGGTGCCTGAATTGCTCAAATACCGTATCCTCAAGATTGGCCGTAAAACGCTAGTTTGTAGGTTTCGCCAGTGTCTTTGCCACCCAATTCAAACGGCCGAGCAGGTCCCGGTTGTCTTTTGGCGCTTCTGTTGTATGATAATGAGGCGCCCCATTTATGACCATAGCCCGCAACGAGCAACATTTCCCTTTTCTTTCCCCCCATCAACCATCCCCCAACCCATGCAAATGACCCGGAATTCCTGCTCTCTATCTCTAGGTCTCTCTGTCTCTCTCGCTCTCTCTCCCAGGCCCCTCGCGGGCTCAAAATAACGACGGTTGACGCAGCCCCAACCCGCCAAGCAACCCATCATTACCGTATCTCTCCAGAGCTGGGCGGTTTGAATTAGAGAGGGCCGTTTGGGAATTAATCGCCATATTTCAAAACGGAAGCCAAAATTAGCAAATCTGAGAGACAGCTTCGAGAAACTGACAGGTAATCTAGAGTTTTATCGGGGAATCTGGGGGTTGTGTCATTTTTTACTTTTTACTAGCTAAACTCCCATGTATTTTGGTGGACTGGATAAATTAGTATAATGGTCATTTAAAAATAAACCCGATCCTGGTAAGTTTGCTAGCTGTTTGTGCAATCTGATAATAAAAATGGCGTTTTCTCGCTAAATTGAAGGGTATTTGTCACTTTTAACTGTTTACGAATCAATCTGTCGTGCATTTTTATGGCGTAACCGAATATCTCTCGAATCGCAATATTTATTTCGGCGAAAATACTGAGCATCAGTGCGGGATAGGGCAGAGCAATTAGGGCAGAGTACATCAAAATATCAATAATACAAAAATGAAACGAAAATGGAAATGTAAATGGTAAGGCTTCAACCGAGGTAAAGGGCCGCTTAGAACATCTAATTGGCCCCCGAATGTTTCTATACACAGTGGAGGGCAAGCTCAAAATGACGGGGTTTTGAAAAGCAAAAATTAAAAATTTTTCAAAATTTAATTTTTTTGATTTTTCAAAATTTAATAAATTTTTCAAACCTTAAAATTTAATTCAAATGCCCACCATATCTGCTGCCAGACAACAAAATCGAAAAATTGGAAAAATCATGAAAATATGTGCAAAAAAGAGATAAAGGGGATCTTTGACTAATCACGTTCCCCCCACCGATAGCTCAGCGGGAGATCTTGAGCGGATTTTTGGCGTCTTTGGGGGTATTGTAGCGTACTGTATCGTATTATGGCGTACTGTAGCGCATTGCAGCGTACAGAACCCCGTAAGGTATCGTACGGTAGAGTACTCTAGCGTACTCTAGCGTACTCTAGCGTACTGTAACGTACTACCGTACCCCAAAAAAGCGTATCTTCCGCTGCTGATCCGCCAGCTACCAGTGGCCGGGAAATTTTTGGAAATATTCAAAAAATTGAATGAATTTCCAGGGGATGGGGGGGGGTGGAAACACCGAGATTTTTAGGATTTTTTGAGATTTTCCGTTTTTTAAATTTAAATATACAATAAAATTTTTCGGAAAACCTCTAAAAATCGAACCGGGCAGACAGCTTGAATATTGGTACTTTTAATTGTAAGAAGTACACCTTATTAAAGGGATGGTGACAGTTAAGAGCACGAAAAAGTGGGATATGACGAAATACTGTAGATTCGATCAAAAAAGCTTAAATTGCCCGTCAGTTATTACAACGAGGGGAATGGACAAATTGCATCTGATCGACAGAGACAAAATAAATAGAAAAATATACAAAAATACGGTAACTGAATTGCCACTTTCAGGCTAGATTTGTGTTTTTGGAGAGGAATATTTCAGTGTCTTTTGGAGCTGACTAATAGAAAATAGACATCATTCAAGATGTATTGTTTGGCAGTTTGGGATTAGATCGGGCCTATAATCAAAAATAATTGAAATAGATACTTAAAAATTAAAATGAAGCCAATTGGTGCTTAGAAGGCAATGCAAAATAGTGGAAAAATTGGACAATTGGCCTATTCCACGGACAACCTCCGCATCTTTGGAGGTGAACAGTCGGAATCGATCTCAGGTAGAGGAGGACCCGCCGATCTATGGCTTCCATCTGGAGAACAGACTGTCGATGAGAAGCCAGAATCGTTGAGAGGGGTCGCGGGAAGGGAATGACGGCATGCAACTAGCTTCTCCACATCGGTGTGCGTCGACTGGGTGCTGGGGATCACCTGGAAATCGAGCATTGAGAAAGGTAGCTGATTTTTCAAGGACCTTGGAGGGTACATGGGTTTTGAGGTATCCTCTCAAAGGTTTTAACCGAGCTTTTAGAATCTTTTTGTATTTCCAATATGTAGATAACAAGTCAGTTTACAGAAATATCCCACAAAAACCCAAAAAATACAAACCTCCGGGGTGGCACGCTGCTCGGAAGTGGATGGCGGTGCCTTCCGCCCATACTTTGGCCTCTTGCCCTGGCAATAGACATGAATATGGGTGAGATAGGGCTCGAGAAGGGCCAGATCCACATTGAACATCTCCGCGATTGCCGTCCTCGCCTCAGCAATAAGAGTAGGGGAACGACGAGTTGTAGCCGCGGCGAGGAGGGCGAGACATGTCTGGAGGGATGGCAGGAGGAGGGCGAGTTTGTACGCTGAAATAGTTGAAATATAGGATGGATGGGAGGGGTGGATTTGGATTTGAGGAAGAATGGAGGGGGGAAAGCTGTGGATATGGAGTGTGTGTTGGCTAGGAGATGGAGATGGCTATCGGAAGACTGGAAGTGCAGCCCTTTCTGGTTGTCTGGATTTTGCGGGAATGTGAGGTTCGTAAAATCAGGCACCCTCCAATTCATTAGGTACCTGAAAATTCAGGTACTCTCGCAAAAAGATAACTGAAAATCCAGGTACCCTAGTTACACCACCCTAAAAATCTAATAACCCCTAATAATCCCCGGTCTTAAATCAACTCCCTTAATCCCCAAAATCCCTGCTGTCCTCCATTGTCCCTGATGGCCAATTTGAATGCTCTTCCCCCCCCCCCTTCTTCTTCGTGACCTGAAGGGCCCAGAATGGCCCAAGATGGGCGCGCCAGGTGCCCAAATCCTTCTTCTTTCTAGCTGTGTGACCCGAATCCCGACTGCCCCCCTCCTTGTGCTGTTTACAGGTGCTCGGCGTACTGGGGGGTGACCCAGTTGCGCCATAGCCATCAGCCCACCCTACGGTTCCCTGCCAAACAGGGCGCCTTTAGGACCACTGTGGGGGCCCAGGAGGGGTGGAAAGGTTGGAATCAAGCACCCTGGCAAGCAGCTAAAGGGATGATGTCACTTTTGAGCCCGATTCAGGCACTCGCCCGGCTAACTAGAGGGCAAGGTGAAATTCAGGTGCCCTGGCATACAGCTAACGTAATTATGTAATTTTTGAGGGATTTTTAGCTGATTCCTATACCTTTCCAATTAGTCAGTTAGTCTAACCCACCCCCTTTTGCCAGTGCAAAATGAGGGGCAGGCAGAGGTGTGAGACCTCTACTCGGGGGTCTCACAGCGGGATATCCTGACGCGGGGCACAAGAGTCCTCCTCGCACCCCGCAAAAAGTCTCGGCCCCGATGAGCGGTTGAGAAGCAGCCAGAAAAGAGGAGAAAGAGCTGAGACAAATGCTAAGAGCAGTCAGCGCCTCTTTTTCTAGCCAGTCCTCCGACTCCATGCGTTGACAACATATGGGGGACCCTGGTTCGAATCCCCTCCCTCCCCTCCCCCATCACTTTTTTCCTTCCGGATCCGCCACCCTCCAGCCCACATTAGTCGCTTTTTATGCCGAGTTTTTCGGGCCTTTCCGGGGGCAATCTGGGGGACAGGGGGCACCTCCCCGAAGAACCCGGTTTTCGCGCCGTTTCCAGCCATTGCAGGGACCCCCAGGGGAGCACGACCCCAGAAATCTCCAAAACATATGTTCTGTTACCCAGGGAACCGAGTCAAATGGAAAAATGGTGCCAACAGTTGGCGCTGAGAAAGGGCTTTTGGTTTCTTGGGTGGCCGCCGGCAATGCTTTTACGTACGGTAAAAGCGGGCACCTGAAAATTCAGGTACCCTACCGATCCCCCCTGAAAAATCTTGCTATGTTATTTTATAGAAAGAGCGGTAGACTGTTTGTCGGTGAGGGTGCGCGAAGAAGTCATAAATCTCGACCAGAAGACGGGGGGATACGATATGTTGAAGAGATAGGGAAGGAGGGGGACCATGTGGGAAGAGAGTCGCGTGCCACCCTCACGATCCGCACCCTCGATAAAATGGTGTGTTGCTCGAGAGCTAAAGGAGCGTGAAAGGATGAACTGGATACCACAGCTCATTTTCATATATTTTAAATGGACTTCGAAGGCCGATTTCTTCGTTTTTTTGACCAAAAAACTGGCTGCAGCTTCTGGCATATTCAAAACTTGGCCCATATGCGCTATTGGAGGAGGAGGAGAGGGCAGTGCGAACAGTTGCCCTTGGCGCAATATGGCACACAGGTCAAACAATGGGCCACTGTTAAAAGGGGACCGCGCACTGGCCAAGCAGAAGAGAGAGCAGATTGGCCCCGAAACGGGATCTCCCCTCTAGAGACACATCAAACATTGCGCAAAGACAATAGCCGCTCAAGTTGGCCCCCGGAAGAATATATATGAGGATTTGAATTGAAGGAGGGGCATGGATGACGAAGGTACCTGATTGCAGTGTATTTGAATCTCACTAAAACTGCTTCAAAATACACTTATTTGCTATACGGCTATACAACTAAACTATTTTTAACTAAAAAACCCTAAAAACTCAGGTACCCTCCCGTATTGTCCTCCTCTTGCTCCCCGAGGCACCATATTGTGTATCCATCCGGTGCTCACAAATCACCTGTCCACCCCTCCTGGGTGCCTGTTGTTTATAGGGCCAAGTGATAGCCAGGGGAAAAGCCTCTCCCTCCCTTCTGCCATCCACCGTATCCAGTTACCCTCTCCCGCACCCTATTGTCCCCCATCCCTCCCTTCTAAATCCCTTTAAAAGATTAAGAGACCCTAGGAAAGAGTCAACTGTCTGCCAGCCAACACCCCTAAAATCTGCCCTCGATCTCGGAGGAGGTGTGAGTAATTTCTTGCAGTCAGAGGTCACATCCAATCACCCCAAAGCCCTCTACAGTATCCAGTAGGGAAGAGCGCACGATTTTGGCGCCCCTGTAAAATCTCTTCGGCCGCCGTGCCATCCCCCTCCCTCACGGCCGAGGCGCGAAAAATGACTCGGCGGAAAGAAAGAAACGCGCGATGCTTATCGTTTTTTTCTGTCAGTTTTTACGGCAGCGAGAAAGAGAGAGAGAGAGTGAGAGAGAGAGACAGACAGGCAGATGCAGGGAGTGGCACTCAGATCCACCTTTTTCACACGCTGAAAACCCGGGCTAACGGGAGGGCAGAGGGGTCAATGAGTGGACTGGCCCCAAAAATCAGAATCGATATGTTAGAGTAATTTTATTAGTTGTGGAATTCATACTGGGTCTCAGCGCGTCAAACGCTACAGTAATGCTCCAAAAATTCGAGATTTTTCGAGGGTACCTGAATTTTCATTTACCTATGGTACCTGATTTTTCAGGTACCCCAGATGGTGCCTGATTTTTCAAATAATCGCACCTGGCGTGCGGCATCTTAAACCTCGGCCCCAATACCAATTATTGCCCATCCTTCCCTTAGCGGGTTACTGTATGCATAGAATGGCTGTCAGTGGATGTGGTCATGCGCTTTCTGGGGGCAGATTCAAACCATCGGCATGTGCTGTGGCCACCACCATCCGATGCAACAGCTGTCCCCTTCATCCCTTCCCTTCCCTCTCCCTTCTGCCGTCCACAGGAGCCATCCGTAATGAGTCGAAGAAGATCCTTAATTACAGGCCAACCCCAGCCCCCCCCACACACGTTCCTCAAAAAAAGCCGCCGGCAAAAAAGCTGGCACCCGGAGGGATTTTAACGGGGATCTCTCTCTCTCTCTGCCTCGCATTTCCTCTCAAGAGGTCCCTGAAATTATGGGCGAATCCGCGGTGTGGTGCTAATGACGGATGGAGGTCCTCATGGGATTGAGATTCGAATCTAGGGCTGGACGACGACAGCTAGGAGGTCAAGACGGGATGGAAAGGGTGATCTTGCTTAAGTTACACTAATCAATACTGTCGAAAAACGCTGAACTGGCTGGTGATGATGGATATGAAAATTGAAAATATCGCCAAAACGCTGAATTTTTAGTGTTTTTCTTTATTAAATTTTGTAAGCTGGCGTGCAATTTACCCTTCCGCATCAATACTTTCCCCAAAAATCGGTCACTTCCAAACCAAAGGCCCAACTGGCGCACACAGGCCATGTGCCACCATCTGCGCCCAGTGTGAGATCCCCCCGTAGTCCAGCCGAGATCTCTCTCTTTGGGGTTGAGGTCAATGTTGCGCAGTCCCCTTCCACAAAGGACAGTCAGTGCATAATTGAGACTAGTAAAAGAAGAAGTGAGGGTACCGGGTAGTACATAGCCAGATCTAGGGGCAGATATGCTGTCATACAAGGGCCCCCGACACACATTTATGGGGGGGCTGTTAAACTGGGGGGATGTTGACCTCGTCGTGTCCTTCTACTGCCCTTAACTATGCGCACACGCGTTTTTTGAAATGCCGCTAGATTAGGGGTAAGAGGAGAGTACCTGAATTTTCGGGGCCTAGGGTACCTGAATTTTCAGTGACCTGGCGAGAGTACCTTAATTTTCAGGAACCTTATTTTAATTTTACGAAATATCTATGAATTTAACTAGAAGTTTAAATTCACGTATTCCCAGCCAGATAAGCGATTTCTGGGCTAAAATTTTCAAATCTGCCCCTACAGTACCCTAAACTCATGATCACGTCACATGCCAACCAGACAAATACGGCAGCCAACTAATTACATCCTGATCCGCTCCCTGTCCAAACGTGGGCAGGCAAGAAGGTGGTGGCTGAAGCTCAGCAGGGGGTCCAGTAGGGGGAGCAAGATGAGGAGAAGGAGGGGAATATGGCTATGCAAATATCAATCTCTAATGGGACTTTGAGGACAATACAGCTGTGGCTAAAGGAGGCAATGGCTTGTCTTGACTGGGCCCTAACCCATCCATCAACACCCCCAACAGAGAGAAGGGGGGGCATGATTTTTGGGACATCTCTCAGGGGATCATCCCTCGATAATCTCTCCCTCAAATAGCCGTTACTTTTGATAACTGATACCCCTGGGGGGATTTTGTGACCTGAAAGTTTTTAGGTAGCTTAATAGGTAGCAAATACTTTAAAAAGATATATAAACATTTTCAACGTCAAATCGTAAGTTAAAATTCTCTAAACTAGGCGTCAAAAAGGATTTTTCTCATTTTTTTAAACCGTTTTACGGTAATTTCTATTGAAAACTTTTTCATATCCTAATCTGCCTGCCTACGCTACAGTATCCCAAATGAAAAACCTGGTTCCCAATCCCGCTCGGCAACTATTTGTCATGAATGAGGTGTGAGGGCCCTCCTTTT